AATGAGAACAAAAATGGGTGTTAAAATGTTAACGTTTAGGAAATTATTAAAACAGAATTTAGAACGCAAGCTGCGAATCATGGCGTGCGGGAAATAATTACGCTGCAATCAAGCACTTATTTATTACAAGTACATTAAAGTTAGTTTTCACTCAAAGTAAATTCTTTAGTTCACTTTATGAATTGTTGCGGTTCCTTAACAAAAATAAAAACTACTTAAATACCTCTAACTGCGAGAAAATATAAAAATGCAAGTTTTTACAATTTTAGAAGTCTTCACCTCGATTTTTTTCATACAAAATTTTTGTGTTAGTTTGAAACTTAAAGTCCTATCAAAAATAAACTGTAGAAGAATGTTAAGTATCAGTCCAAAAAGGTCAACGACTGATATCATGTTCCTGTAATTAAAGAAGAAAAATTAAGGGATTTAGTATTTGAATTTCCAAAATTATCTTATCCAGAACCGATAACACTAATTACTTAAATTATAAGAAATTTCGGATATTGAGATAAAGTTCAGGATCAATAATCGTATTCCCTTTTGAATGAAGTACTATAACGCGCTATCAGTTCAAGTTGAAAAAATTCATAAGTCCATAAGAATCTCCACAGTAAATATAATAACAGTAGTAAAATTATGGTACCGGGTTAGCTATCTGCATGTCAGAGACAATAAATATACAAGAGTTTCACCCTTTTTTTCTTAAATCTATGTTGACGTGAAATTTAAATTGAGCTTTATTACAACACTTTATTTTGGACTTTACGTTAAATTCATTATATCTATATATCAGAAATTCTCTACTAAATGGCCCGACTTGCTTTGTTTTTATGTGGATGATAAAATAAAATCAACGGACTCAGTTATGGCATTTACGGTTTGTAAGTCTGGGTTAACTTTTTTCAATAGAGATCTTCTTTTACTGCACTTTTACTGCAATTTACATTTTCGATTGGTAAATCTGGGGCAAAATGTATAACACTCCAGACTAATTTTTAGTACTCTAGATATTTTGACAGAGTAGTAAGATTACCCTCAACAGCTGGTTTATATGATTTAACAGATAAACTGTGATTTGATGTGTGATTATATGGGTTTGTGAAAAATATAAATGTCTGCTAACGCTACTAAAAAAATGTTAGATTAATCTAAAAATGTTTGATTGGACAACAAAATTTGATAGATAGAGAGTAAATCTATATTGAATTTAGATTTACTAATAGAAAACGTCATTAGTTGACTATTGTGCCCAAATCTAAAAGCAGAAGAAATTGGAAATAATTGTTTTTAAACTAAGAAAATTCATATGATCAAATAAGAAGAAAGAAATTTTTACGCTACACTTAAGCACTAATTTATTACGAGTACATAAAAGTTAGTTTTTAATTAAAATAAATCCTTTACGTCACTTTATAAATTCTTGGGATGCCTTAACGTAGGGAAAACTATTTACGTGCCTTCAGTTGCAAGAAAAGAAAAAAGTAATAAATACGCTACACTCAAGCACTTATTTATTACGATTATAAAATAGTTAGTTTGCAATTAAAGTGAATCCTTCACGTCTTGGGATCCCTTCACGTAAAGAAACACTACTTAAATCGTCGTTGTGTTAATATAATAGTTTTGCGTATATTTAAAACTTAAACAACCTCTTGTGAGTATATTGTCAAAATATATAAGTCATTCGTCTATCAACATTGTTTATGCTTAACATAATACAACATATAGAATCAAGTTTTTATGAATACGTGGTGATAACAAAGGAAACTCTCTATATCATCCAAATTCTGTGGACAGAATAGGCACATTAGATCTATAATAATATATACAGTGCTTAGTTAATGAATAACTGTTTTGTTTGGTGCCCTAAGATATCTTCGATTTCTATTCTAAGTCTTGAATTGCAAAAAAATATAGTTATTTTTTTTTTAGATGTATAGATATTTTGGACCATCTTCTTTTATGAATACAGGTTACAAAATAATTGACTCAATGCGTAACTTAACTTAAATGCGAAAAATAGTTTGTTTTCAAAAATCTTCATCTTACAGAAAATACTATACAATTTATAAATAAGATATTTCATTGTTTTTTTTATCTATTATAAAAATAATAATAATATTTTACAATTTTAATATTACAAGTATACTACATCAATCTTAGTTAAATGAAATTATTTTATATCTTGCAATTTTAAAAAACATCTGACAACATGAATTAGTTATATTCACTTGATTTGATCCTTAGGCGACAGTCATTACAATCTGTAACATTTTTTTAGATTATTTTAAATTAAGACAGCTTAAAACAATACATTTTCTCAACAATTCAAAATCTTCAACCAGAACTTTTTATGACAAATACAGTCACCAGCGCTTCAAGCACAAACAAGGACATCAAAAGGATACAACTAAATGTTTATATATACACTTGAGTTGCAATATGTTCTGTACACACAAACTGAGCAATGACAAGTACAAGTAAACACACAGATGACGATGGCATATAAAAGTAAACATTCGAGCTGATTTATCCTTTGGGCTTATTTTATTAGCGGTTTTTTAAATGTGTACTCCTTGTTTGTATTTCTATTTCTCTGGTGCTTGTACTCTAACTGGAGGAGTCACTAAGTCTGCTGTAGACATTGAACAAAAACAAATTATATATTCAATTCATAACATTGACGTAAAATTATAAAATAGGTTTTTTTATTTTCCATTTTCCACAGGTTCAAGGATGAAGAAATTTTCTTAATGTTCCGTAACAAAGTTTTTGTTATGTCAATATTGAATATGCGTTATGGAAATTTAGATAGAAATATTTAAATAGCATGTAATAGATACAATATAAATATAAGTAATTTATTTCTCGTTCTCGTGGAAATATAAATATAAATATTAATATAAATGTAACAATAAAGAACAAAATTTAGCTATCCGTTGTGTTGCCTTTACGACGGTAGTAGAATAATATACCACTGGTTGTAAAGTTTTTTATTACAAACACGTGTCCTTTTCTCTTCATTTCGATTTCTTAATAAAAATCTGTTACAGCTATTAACTTATACCTATATATCTCCATACATATTTTGTTTTTGTTTTTTTGTATGTATATATTTTTATATACAAAATTTTTATTTTTACCTCATATTCTTATGACCAAAATTAACTAAAGTACATAGCTTCATCGTTATTATTAAATATTATAAATATATATTATATTATATTAAATATTATAAATATTTAAACACCTACATATAATTCACTTTGTTTTCATCTAAAATATTTTTAACATCCATAAAAATCATAAACTAATGACTGTACAACTAATGGCTGTACAACTAATGACTATATAAGTTGATTGGAACTGTTAGAACCATGAGTCAAGCCAGAAAGCAGATCAAGGAGTTCACACTTGCACAATTACAATTTATAAAAATGTAAAGTTGAAATATAATTTATAGCGATAAAAAAAATTAATATTATCAAATCGTGAATCTGATTTCCTTATTTGACAATGACTGTCTGCCCATACACATACCCATATCTACGCTATCGACCTCTCATATTCAAGGGAGCCGTTCGTCTATACGCTCTTTTTTTTAAAGCATATTATAATAACTCTATTTACATATACATATGTATGTCCAAAGACAATAAAATAATTGACAACAATTTTAAAATGACTAAAAACAGTTTTATCCGTGTCAAAGCTAGGCTTACTAACAGATTGAATCATAACTTATTTGAAATTTATTTCCAGTTCAACTTTTGTGATTTACTCTCTGAAAACCTATGGTTCTATTTATTTTACATGTTTATCTATTCGTTACCTATTCCATAGTAACGCTCTTATTCTTTCTTTGCGTAAATGAATTAATTTTTTGATTTATAGGGTATGTCAGGGCTGTCCAAAGTACGGCCTGCGGGCCACAGCATCCCATCGCTAATTTTTATGCGGTCCGCGACATGTTTTTAATCTACTACAATGACGCCAATTTTCTTTTGGTGTACTGGTGAAACCACATTATTTTATTTTTATGGTAAACTAAATAAATGAATTTAAATTTGTAAATTAGTAAAACTAAATTTAACATAACATGAATGTATGTATTTGTTTCTGCTGCCCTTCAATCTGTACAGTCTAGCCTGTACAGCAATGGTATATATATATGTTTATGACCTTAAGCTACGTTATTGTAGATAAAATATATTAGCTATCCAGATCTCAAATTTCAAAATTTTAGTAAACATATATCTTTTATGGCATTGGTCATCTCTATATGAGTTATCTACACTTATGAAATTATACATCTTGTACACTTTTATGAGAGATGTCATTGATCTATATATCCCAAGTTGTCTATTCCCATAATTAATACTTAAAAATCTAATTTCCTGCGCATAGTTAATAGTATTTTAAAACAATTACTTCAATAAGTCTTCCTAAAAATGTTCAAATTTTAATACCTTTTATTTCTTTCTCATTTTCATACAAAAACAATAGGCTTTTTTGGTAGGTCGCAAATATGGCAAAAAATAGCAAGTTGCTGGCCTATACTGGCCAATGTAATGTACGCAAAACAACAACAAAGTGCCATACTTGCGAGCCACCGAAAAGGCCTGATAGCAATTCTCGGAAAATAAACAGATTTTATATATAATACAAGTATAATACAAGTCCTGTTTTCAGTAATACCCCGTCTACACTATACGATTTTGTATATTATTTAGTTTAGTTGTATTGCTTATAAGAAGTAATAAAACAGATATTAAAGAAACAACTTCGTTTTTATCTATCTGCCATAATAGGGTATAAGAATAATATATTTAAGCAATGTTAATCTAAAAATACTCTTGATAATTTTTATCTGCGTATATTATAATTATTATTCACCTGAGGGATAGTTATTATTCACACTTTACTCACTATAATTACACCCATTAAAACATTTTGTCAACACTTTTATCCGTCAAAGTTTAACATGTGATCAACTACAGTGGTGAATTATTTATTTCTAATAGGTACTTGTTTAAACAGGAAGTGAAGAAGTGTGTTTTTTAAAAGATTAAGTTCAATAAAAAGGTTAGAGTGGTAGAGAAGTTATGTCCGAAAATATATCATCTTCTCCAAAAGTAATAGTGCAAAAAATAACAAAAGCCGACAAAATACCAAATCCTAATATAAGGCAATTAAATTGCTTGTTACAAGGAAAACGTTGTAGAATTTGCCAAGAATTATTAGCAACTGACGAAGAACTTAAATATCATTTCTATGATTATCATCAAGTAATTAAGAAAACAATTAATATATATAGAAATATAAATACTTTATATAATATATTGTATATACATAAGGTAAAGACGTGCTTCAAGTTTGCGTGCTGTTAAAATATGAACGCCATTTTGTTAATTAGTGTACACATTCTTTTTTTTAGATATAGCTTAATGTGAAATAGAGTATGTGAATAATTGTGATAACTGTATTTAAAACAAATTTTCCTATTAATTGAATATAAAATTACAGCACAAGTGTTTATAATATTAAATACATATACAGTAACCCCCCTATAACGCGGTAGATTGGTTCCGCGTTATAAGAAAACGCCTTATAGGGGTATTCCCGTATACCCTATATACACACGTGCAAAGGTACGTAAAGCTAATTATGAATTGTCCAAATCCCCGCATTATATGGGAGAACGTCCGTGTATACGGGGGATTGAAATCGCGTAATATGAGCCGCGTTATAGTGGGGATTACTGTATTTAAAAATTATATTATGTTGTACTATGCAAAAAAAATGTCGGTACAGTAACATATGCATTCAACCCAACACAACTGATATTTTTTATGTATTAGATTGTTTGTTAGGATTTAAAATAATATTTATATAAAATAATGAAACAACAGGTTTACCGATTATTTTATTATAGAATATTGATTGAAAATATAATCGATTTTTGAAATCGAAATAAATTTTTTAAATAATTCTATAGTAAATTCAGTTTTACTACTCCATTCTATTTTATATTGCATACTGCTTTATCTCCAAGCACTCTTTACTCCTGTTTGTGTTAATAACATTTATGTTAAATCACTGTTAACGGTATAGTGAAAATTTGAATTGAGCACACTGAGTTGAAAAAGCAACATGTGCAATTGAAGCTGATCATTGATTTAAAAACAAACCCAAACTTTTTTCTGTTGTCTACCATAGTTTTCTAAAAGAAACTGAGAGGTAAGTTTGAATCATAGTGCCTCTTTGTGTAATATCACAAAAAAAACTCTTAACGAATTTTTAACGCTAAAAACCAACACAAACAACGAAATTTTTCGGGAAGTGCTCTTATTTTAGCAAACATTGTGGTGAGTAGGGACCGAGTGGGGAAAATTATCACACACCATTGTGTAGCATTAGGCTTTTTGTTTTTGTACTGTGTGATATATTGACCTCATTACTCAAAATTTTGAATAATATTTGAATTATCCAGAAAATTTTATACACAATTTTTCGAGTAACTCTCAGTTTATTTTCTTTATCTTCTTTGGTACAGTATTGAAGTATGGAATATTGCCATATATTTTAAGGTAATTTGTGGTGTTTTCATTGGCTTTGTCAGTATTTAGCGTAGTGTTGAAGAAGAAAACTAAAGAAGCTATACATTCATTGTTTTGTTTATAGATTTGTGATTTGATGAAAATTTCGAAATAATTTACTTTATTTCTCTATTTAAATAAAATTTGGCTCAGATTTGTTTGTTATGAATAATAGAATTTGTTTGTATATTTAACATAATTACAGATATCGGTTGACTGTAATGCAAAACTGTGATGTAAACCAAATAATCAAAACTAAATTTTTGTATAAACGTGCACTTTTACATGTATACACATATATACATATGTATAAAATTATATACCTGAAGCTGATTATATGATACGTATGACTACTAATTGATATATATGGCAAACATCGTTTAGATCGCTTAAGATATAATTACATATTTGTATATGAATATAATAGTAATACAAAGTACTGATAAAGACATAGATTTCTAAAATAAAAATTCTTTAATTTATTTACATGAAGTATGTACCGCTTGTAACGGACACCTCTGTTATACTTATATTCCTCTGGTATGAATAATTTGACAAACTCTGCTGTTATGTGAGCATCTATCTTAGGTGGACAATTTTTTCAATAACTAAAATTTTATAGATCTGTCCGAAGAGATGGAGTGTCGACTCTGCTTAGAAGCAGACGAGACTTCCAGTCATATTCTCTGTGACTGGCCAGTTTTGATCTGGACCAGGAGGAGGTCACTGGAAGCAGATGAGACTTTCAGTCACATTCTCTGTGACTGTCCAGCCTTGATCTGGACCAGGAGGAGGTCCTAAACGCACGACATTCTGGCCTTCAATTAAAAGGTGGAATATCTTCTGTTTGGTTAGGGTTATTGCAGCACAAAAGATCAATCTGGTCGAAGTGCTCTGCTCCGTCGGGAGCTAGTACCCCTTTCATTCCTATCCTATTGGTAGCTCAAACAGCAATAGAGCCAATACTTTTATACTCAGTGAATAAACAGTAAATTCCGTATAAGTTTCTATAATTCGATTGTAAAGCACATAACTTGTAATACCTAAGACTGATCTATAAAATTGTTCATATATAATATTTCAAGCAAAAAATTGTATAAAAGTTTGTATTTTACATCATATGTACAAAGTTCTTGACACAATCCTTAAAATTTTGATTAAGTAAAACTTCCTAAAATATTTAAATATTAAAAAAAATCAAATGAGCAGCATATTTAGAAATAATTCTTTTTATTTTATTAGTCTATGTCGTATTGTATGGACTACAAGTACCATATTAAGTACTTTAAACCATACTTTATATTTTTGGAACTAATGACAAAAAATTTCCAATCAGTTTTAATTTAGTTATAGTTAAAGAATGGACTAACTTTCAATTCTTAGAGAACACTATTAAAGCTTTGATTAAGCTAGTGTTAACTACTTTAATTTTTTTGTTATTATATTAGAATATAATTGGCTAACAATAATAGAACATGTTGTACAGTTCTATGTGAATATGCTAGGATAACTCAATTGTAAATTTATTCGTATTTTTATACAGAACTACTACTTTGATTTAAATAATTATATATACATATATAGGTATATACATTTTTCATAATTCAGCATTGAGACATTTTTTATTTTAAAACTTTTGTTAAAAATAAAAAACAAGTTAATTAATTATTTGTATATACAATTTTTTAATTATATTACACACATTCGAGTAGCAATCTTAAAAAAAATATCCGAAGTGATATTTTAAAATGAAAGAAAGGGAAATGAGGTAATAAATACACTAAGCGTGTTAAAGTAATGGCCCAGTTATGGGCATACTCTGTGCAATCAGTCTTCAATAGCAATTCAACCCAGATGTTGAGTTTTAAAACCATTTTTTATTTAGTAATTATTTAGTAAATAATATATTATTGGATATTGAATGGAACTTAATTCAATATTTTATTTTCTTCTTCCGTTTTATAAAGGGACTTTGTTGTTTGAAATTCCATATTCCACTCTTCTTAGACACATCCATAAATAAATACAAATATATTTTGTAATCTATAATACGTCAGCATTTTATAAAAAAAAAATAAATATATTATAAATTGCAACTAAATTTATTTCATTAAATTTTCATTTCAACTTATTTGAATTATTTATACAATCAATTTCAATGTATTCCTAATGAGATTTTACTTATATATTTACACTTTTGTTGATACATATAATACATATATTCATAGGTCGAACATTGTTTTATTTTAACACAGAACCCATTCAATATTATTTATACAGAAAAACAAAAGTACATGACTCGCATCTGGGATATCATATGGTATGTGTTATTGAATATTCTAGAAAGCATGCATCCAACAATTGTTAGGTAATGTTTTGTGATACTCAATTATTACAGTTCATGTTGTTTTTTATTACAGTTATTTATGTTTTTTTTTTAAATATTTTATCCGAGACATTTCCCAATGTGACACTTTGAACAGTTTCATTCATGCTAGTCTTTATATCCTAGAAGTGCTGTTGCTTTATTTAATGACACCCAAGGGAACGTGTGGGAGCAAGCACGAGCTTTTGCAGTTCACAAGGAATATTAAAAGATATTTAAAAAAAAAAAAATATAGTACTTTATTAGTTTTACAATTTAACTTGTATACAAAGTAAATAGAAATTAAATTTGATATTTTTTAAATTAATATTAAATTACTGTAACGTATTATTTGAGAAATCCCATTTAATTTTGAAAACACTTGTGCAACTCTTAGTATATACTATATATAAATACTATAAATACTAAATATTATATATATACAATATATAAATACTATATAATATTATATAAATCCTATATAGTATAAATATAAATATTATAAATACTATATTGAGTCAAACTTCCATAACTCGAAGGTTCATTTTGCAACGAATAGGTTCGACTTATGGAGACTTCGAGTTAGAGAATTATTTTATTTTTTTTTATTTTTTAAAGAAACTAGAATTACATTTTAAGATATTTATTTATTTATTTGAAATAAAATACAGCACAGAAGTTATAATGAATTAAAATATTTAGAAATTAGGGTTTGGGACTTTAATTTTTTTTTTTAATTTTCAGTAAAAAGAGATATTCATACTCTTGTGGTGATCAATACTTGTAGTATCATTTGTTAGCAAATATAAATTCAAAATTTTGAATGAGTCTTCTACTTTATTCTTGGAAGGCTGATGAACAATTACATCCATCGAACTCTCATCATATCTTACCGTTGCGCTTAGAATTGGATCTAGTAATTTAGAGCTATATTGTTCAATAATATCGTCATCTGTAGGAAAGTTTGATGTATAAATTTCATTGTCAAGCTCAATATAATCCTTAAGAGTAGCATTGGTAATTATTTTATTTACTGGCATTTGCACAAAGAAGCAATATAAGAAAGAAAAAATTAAACATTTGATTTGGGACTTCCCCTAACAGCAAAATGCAATTATACTTAAAACAAAAATTCGACTTATAAAATGGGCTTTCCATATTCCTAACGGTACGGAACAAACTTTTTGTTGGAGTTATAGAGAAATTCGAGTTATAGAAGTTCGAGCTATGGAAGCAGAATAGAATTGTATGTAATTAGTTCTCTAAAATCTTGGTGCACTGTTTTTTGTTCGAATTATAAAAAATTCGAGTAATAGAAGTTCGAGTTATGGAAGTTTGGCTGTATATATATATACATATGTGTATTATTTATAAAAATTGTGTTTCAAATTGAGATAATTCAGAGCAGAAAATTTAATTTAAATTTTCATTTCATGAAACATTCAACTTCCTTCATAGTAAATATTTGCAATTTCAGATATGTGTGAGTGCTTTATAAATATTAGCTTCATATTTTTTTTCAAAATAATCATAACAGGGTAAAATCCTGCTTTGCTTACTTGAAGCTGAATGAAACACATTTATCATATACTATACTCACTTTATCATAGCAAGTGCGTTATTTGCCATAACTTTTACTTTGTACATACGGACATACATACATACAAGTATTTTTATAACGTATCTGCATCCTGCTGTGAAACTAAATCAAATCATTAAGTATATATTTTTACGTGAGTACATTTCATAAGCTCAGACAGTAAATATTCTATTATAAAACACAAATAGTGCAAATGTCATGGTCAATTTAATAAAAATAAAAATTTTATAATACATGTAGTGCAAACACAAGATTCTAAAATTTTACTACAATATAATATCATAAGAAATACAGAACATATGAGATGTGTTTATTTTAATAACACAAATGCAATAAAAATATTGTACATATACATATTAAAAGGTTTTTATTTTTATTCTTTTAAATTTTCATCTTTAACTCAGTTGTAGCTGATTTTATTATGCTCTAAAGTAACTTCTAGTAATAAAAGAGTTACTAGAATAATGGTTTCGATTATTCGACAAGCAAAACATTTCTAAACAGTTCCTGTAAGGATATCAAGAGTTCAAATCGATCTGTGTAGAAAAAGTTTTTAAATTGTTTAATACAATAAAGGATACACATTAGATAAGCAATTTGTAAATTTTACATAAACTTTACAGAAAATTAAATACAGTTATTTTATAGTTAACCAAAAGAACTTTGAGTATATTAATAATTTAATTTAATAATTTAATTTAATAAATTAAATATTATGTTTTATTTAATATAAATCTAAAAGGAATACACTGTCGAATTTGCCTGTAGCTAATTTGAAAACAAGCTAGAAATAAATTTACTTTATAATTAATTTTATGTTATTAGATATATTTTTATTTAAATAAACACTTAATTTTTTTTTTCTTTCAAATAGCACTACCAAAGCAACAAAATCTTCAAAAATACTAAAGTCTGTCAACACATTATACCTAATATACAAAAAGGTTCCAAATATTTTAACTGAAGAAGAAGTTCGTCCACATATTAACACACAAAAAATAAAACCTTATTAGTGTCGGAAAAATATTCTATATTCTCATCAGAACCTGGAAGTTTCAAAACCAATTTAGAGAATCTGTTCTGTTACCTGAACAAGCTATGGGTGGATTGAAGAGAGAAAACAACAACACTTCTATGACAAAAATGTCTATATTTTCTTAAATATAAGGAAAGAATTCACAAAATTATAAAACGATTCAAATACCATACTTTTGCCTAGCTTTTTAAAAAATCTTCATTTATAACTGTTTCGTTTATATGTATATTTAAAAAAATGTTAAAATGTATTTTTATATAGAATAGACACTCGTTATTTCTGACCAATTTTAAATTGGGTGAATAAAGAACCAATCTATCGATACTCACTAACGTGTTGCTAACAGCCTTTGACTTGAGTTATTAAACATAAGATCTATTAACCTATCTCTCTCTCTCTCTCTCTCTCTTTTTCTCTGTTTCGAACTCTATTAGTTACTTTCTTTCTCGCTCTTTCTTTCTTCCCCTCTATTGCTTTTTAATTTAAGAATGGGAAAATTTTGGTATAAATTTAAAAAAACTGTAAGTGAATCTTAAAAGTCCAAATTGTGAAAATTAATTTATATTAAACTTGCTACATACTTTAAAAGTATTTTTCTTTATCACCCCCTCTGTTCTTCTTTCATTTTTCTTTTTTTCTGTATTTCTCCTTTACTATTTTTCTTTCTTTTTTCCTTTCTCTTTACCCTCTCTCTCACTCTATCTTTCTCTTTCCCTATCTTACTTTCTCTCTCTCTTTCTTACTATCTCTCTCTCTCTTACTCTTCCTCTATCATTGCCTTCCCGTCTCCTTATCTCTCCCCGTCTCTCTGTTTGTCCACCTTTTCTTTCCCTCCTACACTCGTTCAGCAATTAAGGAGTTGCTTAATACGTATTTAGTCCATAACCGTCTTTTATTATCTCACTCTTTTTCTAACCTTCCCGCTTTCTTGTCCTATAACTTTTTTCCCTTCGCGAACTTATTGTAAACTCTAATATATTTCGATTGTACTAGATTACTGATCCATGGGACATTATTTTTGAAGTTATTTCCATTAAAGATATTGAAAAATGTTCATCGAAGAACTTTAAATAATTATACAAATATTATTAAAAACCTTTTATTTTTTTAATTAATTAAGACAATATTAATTTTATTTTTCAATTAATATACAAATATATCATATCACAATTTTTTATTTTTTTTTTTTTTTTTGTTTTACATAAATTATTTATATTTATTTAATGTTAAGCAATTGCTCAAAAATTGTTCCTTTAATGCAATATGTGCACTTGAAAGTATTGTATTTCCTATGAAATCAGTTGCATTTTCCAATAATGAAGAACAAACAATTTTATTTATAATTTAACACATATTTAATCAACACATTTTTGCAAAAATTAAATAAATTAATTTATATTTTAATATTCAAAAAAATTTTTTTTCAACCTTTCATAACATATTTAAACCATTTTCACAAACTAATTGCCGAATATTATAGACATAAAATTTATCATAACATACATAAAAAAACAAATTTATACTTAAACATATTTTACTAAAAATAATAATATATATATATTTTATTGTGTATTTATTCATTTCTAAAATATATATTTGTATTTTATTTTTTTCTATTTTCTCTCAAAAAAAAAAAATATACAAAAAAATCTTTTTACGTGTAAAATGCTAATAAAAAATAAACTTTTATAAAGTTTGCATACTGCACGGATATTGTAAGTCTCACCTAATCTGATATTAATATATATATTTTTTTATATACATAATATAATAAGTGTTTTCAAATAATTTTATATTTTTATTGAAGTCAAATTCAGTTAAAAAAATAAAATTCAATTAAAAATATTTATTTATATTTTTTTTTTTTGAAATATTCACACATCTTACAGACCAACCACCGCAACTAAAATTCTCACTATCACCACCACCACCAAAAGCTATCTTTGGTTCACCACACAACATGCAAGCCAAATCGAATGATCTACAATCTTCCAATTCAGTTAAGAGTGACGATGAATCCTCTTCAGTTGGCATGTCGCGTTCCACGTCCGCCACTCGTAATGATGACAATGATGCTGCTTCCGATTATAATCAATGGCTGCATGCTATGAAACTGGTAGCTCATTTACCCGGAGGAATGCCACCTGAATTCCGGCGTAAGGTAAAACTTTGCTTCCGTCCATACACTCGTACTTAAATCCAACGTGAAGTTTTTAATAAATTGTATAATTAAAATATTTTCTTAGTTGTGGCTGTCACTTGCAGATAAATATCTTAAATCAAAAAATGTTGATTGGACAAAGGAGGAGGAGAAATGCTTCTGTGAGAAATGGCGTGAAGATGACGAAGAATTGGGTATACAAATTGTGAAGGTGTGTTAGTTAATACAATGTAACTAATGTAATATGTAAACTTATTACAACCTATCTACATATAATAGTCAGTATTAGCCACGATACAAAAGTATTTTTTATTCTCTGTTGGTCAGTCAATATATAACATTATATTAATATAACATTATATAACATATATAATATATATAACATTATATAAACATTATATAAATTTATTAAAATTTTAATTTTATAAAGAGGTTTTTTCGAACAGTAGTGAAATACAACAACAAAAATTTATTTTTTATATTATTTTAATTAATTAAATTTTTGCCTGACCATACAGCTGTTTCGAGTATTGCCAAATACCCATCATCAGTGATCTTGGAAATAGTTCTTGTATTTTTTTAATTTTATAAATATTGATCAAATTCTGTAATTAATTACTTCAATTTTGATTACTTAAATTAACGATCATAAAGTAAAAGAATGGTACAATTTTTCTTTAAATAAAATACCCTTGTCAGATTAGAACTAGAAATGATTCTGAAGCTATATAAAAAGCTGTTTTTAAATAAATAATTTATAGTAAGCTCTTGACGTCTATATTCTATATATATCGTCTAAAAACGAACTCGTTTTGACCTTTAAAAAACAAAATGTCTTCTAAATATTAATATTGAAGATATCGATAAGTCTCTCTCTAGAACATATACTTGTAAACAATCTTTTGACATCCATATTCTGTATAAACCATCTAAAAACCAACTTTTATAGACCTTCTAAAAATTAATTGTCTTCTAAATATTAATACTGAAGATAGCGATAAATTTTTCTCTAGAACATATCTTTATCAACAATGGATAGTTTATATAGTATAAACCATCTAAAAACGAACTCTTCTAGACCTTCAAGAAACGAAATATCTTCTAAATATTAATACTGCAGATACCGCAAATATGATTTATTATAAATTTGGTATAACTTTTACATAATTCTTTTTCTGTAATATTTATTTCATTTAATGTATTTAGTAATTACCATAGTTTTGCGAGAATTATATCTTATCAGTTTAAATGCTTACCAAAATTCTTTTAATTTTTCCTACTAAAAACGGTTCGCATTATTGTTGTAGCTTAATGAAAACCTTTCTTTTAAATATTAAAACCTCAACGTCATCTTTGACGATCACGAAGAGGATGACGATGTATACTTACTCAAACGATGTTATTAACTACTCAAAGAGTTATATATAAAAATTTACGTATTTTAGATATTTAGATAATAAATCGTTTTAATCACAAAGATCAGTCCATAATTATATATAAGGCTTTACTATTATATGTTATACAACATTATCACTTCAACATTATACAGGTAACTGAATACAAATGGCGCATTTTAATAGAGAAAACCATAGAATCTCATTAAGATGCCCTGTAAAGATGTAAGTCTTAGAGCGGATTTGCTATTAGGTCAAGTAGCTAATTAACTAGGAAGATTTTCATATTATCATCAATAACCTTTATTGTATTTATAAGGAATATAATAAAAGTGCATTTTTATTATATAGCGTTAAAGAGCGTCTATAACATTACTTATTGTTTAAACTGGTTTTAATCCCATCGAGTCCTTTACTGCAACACAATGGACCAATATGTTGAATTGATTATCCAGTATCACAGTTATAACTTACCATTAGGTTAAGTTATATGCATAACTATGTCGAACTATATGTTCTATATCAATTATCATGTACAATTTGTTTTAGTATTTATTTACGACAATTCCTAATTGGTACCAAACCATTCTATATACTGCAAAAATAGATATACAGTTTCTGCCATCAAACTCTTATGAATGACAAAAAGTAATACAATAAATGGCTACTAAATGTCATATAAGCATATATATTGTATTCAGATTTTATTAATTATTTCAATTGAGCAGACGCGGGCTTTATTTTCTTTATTGAGGCTAAAGATGGTTCACTGACCGCCTGTATAAAGGATCTTCCTACTTTTGACAATATAATAAGGTCGATTATTTATTTTTTGTTTTTAATTATAAAAAGCATATTTTTACGAACAAAATTTATTTATTTTATTAAAAATATTTATTTATATATATTGTTTACTTGACTTGTGTGTTCTACAAGTCAATGCGTTGGGTTAGTTGGATAATTAACAGTGACTTTGAGCTTCAAATTTGGCTAGGCAGTGGTTCACCCGTTGGTACTTGCAGTCTCAAAAAATTATTTACGTTTAATTAGATACAAGAAATATTTCCAAAAAGAGACCACTGATGGTCTCTCCAGCCAGCCAAAAATTCAATTAATAAATAATAAATAAATTTTTGTTGTTTTGATTCATTACTGTTCAAAATACCTAAACAATGGCTTCCAATAAGAAAGATAGTTTCTTTCGTTAAAACTAACTTAAAAAATCAAATTTAATAAAGTATTTATTCTAACAATTTTACGTCTTTTTTTTCACGTTTTAAACAGGACTTGCATCGCACAGGCTCTAATTTATGTTCCATTAATCAAGCCAAACTTAAGCGCATACTGTTAGGTTATGCACGCTACAATCCTGAAGTTGGCTATTGTCAAGTAAGTCAAGAGTTAAGAATTTAATTTACTTATAGTTTAAGGCTTAAACATTCATTTCATGCCAATATTGTTAGCATTTCACGAATTCTAATTCTCAGAAGAAGTAATTGAAATATTTTCTCCTTGTACAGGGTTTCAATATGCTTGGAGCATTAATTTTGCAAGTTATGGATAAACAAGAAAGTGAATCAATGAAGGTGATGATCTATCTTGTCGAAGGCGTATTGCCTCAAGGTTACTTCTGTGGCTCAATGGGTGGACTTCAAGCAGATATGGGAGTTTTTCGAGAACTCATGCAAACTAAATTACCGCGTCTAGCAAAGCATTTGCAAAAACTGCAAGGCCCCATCGAGCATGCCTATGAGCCACCACTAACGAACGTGTTTACGATGCAATGGTTCCTAACATTGTTCTGCACCTGCCTGCCAATGACTTGTGTGCTGCGAGTTTGGGACCTTGTGCTTATTGAGGGTAGCGATGTGTTGTTACGTACTGCTTTGGTGTTGTGGAGTTTACTAGAAGAGTAAGTACAATGTAGTTTGCATTATAATTCATGTTATACAGTTTTGTGTGCCAGATTTGTTATCTGAAATTATGTCACGGCAAATGGCAGGTGAATGATATTGTTAAACATGTACAAGGCTGCCGGAAATGCACAGCAAATAAAACTTTTGAACCTACGTTCATTGTATGTATGTACAGCAATAAGTGAATGCAGCTACTGTCGTCTCATGTTTGCATATTTAGCAAATCTTTAAAGATACAAATACCAAAATTTGTAGATACTAAACGACACTAAATGTATAAATCAAAGTGCATACATTTTGTAACTGAGTTTTAATGTTTGTTTTCATTAGCAAAACTTAAAATTTACAATGTACTTCATACCTTCTGTTTCAACTTTTCAAGGAAACAATTAAGCAAATTCTAAATTTTAAATTCTGTTAAAAAATGTTAGCAGAATTTATATATATATAAATATATTTATTTATATTGTATATATATAAAATATGGTAATAGTATAGGTGATGGTTTATGGGTTAGGCTTAGGCCTTTATGCACTGCGACCAGCTTGATCTATTGTACACTCCTTTGTATTAGACATTTAGTATCTCGAATAATCGAACCACCTACTTCGGAATGAGTTTTTGAAGGTCGTCATCCTATAGTTGGTATACACGTAAAATTTTGTGTCTTTTGTGACCTAGTGCATCACAGCTAGTGATCAGATGTTCCATAGAGTCTTCCTCATCACAGCAGAATCCGTAAATGTTTGTGTTGCAGGCGACGTGGCCTGTTAGGGCTCCAGAGAGTGAATTTAGACTCTTCATGTTTTGGTTGTGAACGATGTTTGCTCTTTTGGCATCAAAATTTAAGAATTTTTTGGAATGATTAAGACCGTCTATGTCATTTCAATATTATATTATATTACTATTACTATTATATATTATATACTATATATACACATTCCTATTTCAAATTATAATTCTATAAATATATAATAATTATCTATTTTTCTTTAAGACGCGTGCTAAGTGCGCGAACTGCGGATGAATTCTATTGTAAAATGGGATCCTTCTCTAGTGAACTTCTGAACGGGCACCTTATCGATTCAAATGGTTTAATTGAAAAGGTAGTACAACTTGGACCTATTGCAGATATACAAAAGCTACGTGACAAACATCTTTACAATATAACACCTTTAGGACATAAGCAAGGTTTACAGTAAGTTAATTTTACTCATTTAATTATATGTAAATAGCAATAAAATATGTTCTATAGGCTATATTTCGATGGTGAAGAGCCACAAACTGATGAGGAATCACATTTAGCGGTCGCTACAGTTTGGGGTATACCTTGGGGACGTCGTGGTTCACATGGTCACACAAAACATCAAGAAAATAAGGAACGTATTGCATTAGACATATCTTTATTAAAAAAACAATATGATCGTTTACGAGAGCGACAGAAACAAGCTCATATTATCCTAACTACTGCATGTACTAGTGCACGCCAAAGTGCACCCACCTCAGCATTAAGCAATCCAAATCAAACAGTACCTGTTAATCAATTACTTATGGGTCGTTCAGCTATAATAAATAAAGGTAAACGTAGTGGGCCACCGCGTGGTGCAATACCACCCGCTCGAAAACCATCTTTACCGATAGTATTGCAAACAAAACCAGTACAAAAACAATTAAGACGTGGTGAAACTTTGCATTGGCAGGATATGGATATAAGCAAACAACGTCGAGAAAGTCTGACTTGGAAAGAAATTAAAGCTGATCGTGCTGCTCTTTTACGTGGTGAAAAAAAGGATATGTTACAAACTCGCAAAATTCGTACACGACTTGGTAAAAGTGATTCCTCTTCATATAGCGAAGATAGTGATGGGGAAAATGAAGATAGAGGCTCAAGTACAGATACTAGTCTATGTGATGATGAGCAAAATTCTGGTGAAAGAACGTCCAACGAAAATAGTCCTAGATTTAAATTAAAATTAAGCAATCGTAAGCAGAAAGAAGTGATCGATAAAATACCAAGTTTAAAACCTATACGTGATAAAAGTCAAGAACGTAAACGACCTAAATCATGGGCACCTTCTAATACAGATATACCATTCATGCTAATGACAGCTGATTCTCCCATACATAGTGACGATGAAGATAAAGATTTGTTAAGAGAAGATGTATCAGATATAGAAAAAGATCGGTTTCTTTTTAAACGCGTTAAAGATCTAAATTGGTCTGATACAAAATACTCACCAATTGCTGGTGATTTAGCCACGACAGCATTGGAACCGCTACAAGTGGAAACAAATAACTTAAATGTGCCTGCTATAACTAGTACAAGCCAATTGTCACCTTTGCCTGATATTCAAACATATCTTGGAAATAATACTATAAGTCCATTACCAACACCTAAATTATTGTTTCTTGATTCAACTAATTCTCTTGGTAGTGGTGATGGAGATGAGTGCAAAAAGTTTGATGTTAGTGATGATGGAGTTACAAATCAGTATTTTGAACGGGTTAACAGCGTGGAAAGACCTAATAAACTAGATTTGTTTTATTCCTTAAATGAAGAAGATAGCATAAGGAATGCTTATGTGGATACTGAAGAGCCACCAATCAATGAGGAGCATCTAGATACTGATACAAAAGAAGCAACCGATAATGATAATATCGTTGGTGAGATAGATTTAAAAATATCCGATACCGCGTATATGCCAAAGGTAATAATTGGTGATACAAGTCTCAAAGAAATTGAATCTGCTAATAATCGCCGCATGGAATTATTAATTGATTATTCAGAGAAGTCTTCAGCAGCATTTATAGCTGAAGCTACTAGCGAATTGCATACGACATTTAAGAATGAAAATATAAATAAATGTGAAGAAAAACTTGATAATACAATTGATATTAAATTTAGATCAAATGATATTCCTGGTGAAAATCGTAATGATTTTAAGGAGACATATAGAGAAAATATTGTGGAACAACAATCTATACTAAGGCCAACAGTTTTAACCAGAAAACATTCGCTCAATAACGCTTATAAGAAAAGAAGGGATCCTCGACGACTAACACTCGTAAAATGTTCGACAATAGATAATGAGGAACAATTCCAAGATTTTCAAAATCGTTTTAATTGTGATAATACGAAGTTAGTTAATATTGAAAAGTGTGATAAAGAAGAAAGAATAAAGCAAATACCAACGACTGCAGATTTAGAAGAACGATTCCATACTTTAGAACGGCAACTAACAATAGAGAGAATGCGTAATGGTACTGATAAATATAGTATTAGTATTCAATCGCCAAATACATCAAACAAAGATCTAGTTGCCAATTTAGAACATGATCAAAGTCCTTCTAATAATTTAGACTATCAAATAAATGCAGATATTACTGATAATAAAGACGATTTTTACGACAAAAATATTGTTATTACTTCGGAAAACTCAAACAAAACAGATCATGTTTCAACACTTGAACTTGATCGCAATGATTTAGAAAAATTAGTGAAAGATCGTCCAAATAATAAAACGCATATACAGCAAACTAATCATAAAAGATTATCCTGCGATTTATCAAGCGATGAATCTACATTTATATCAGAATCTGGTCTAGATCAAGAAAAAAACACTATTAAAAAGCAAATAAGTGACAGCCATTCTGATGAAAAAGGCGCTATCCACAGTTTATCAAATAAAACTCCTGATGCCATAGCTGAATCTAATCAAACCCTAACCCAACCTTCAGCACAACAATTAAGTTCCATTAGTACTGCTAATAAAAAAGATGATATTCAACTGAGTAGGGATGGGAACAACGAGGAACTTGATACGAATAAAAAGAAATCCAATGAAAACCAAAAAATTAGTAAAGAAAATGAAACAACCGATGTGACATCAACGAATGCTAATACTAAAAAGCATGCCAAACAAACAAATGAAGAAGAAATACCAATAAAAAAAACACCGCCATCTACTGCCGAATTAGAAAATCGATTTAATGCATTAGAAAGACAATTCAGTGTACAAAAAACTAGTCAGACACCTACTAAAAAGGAACCACCTGATGATGCAACTGTTGAGAATAGAAATGATAGAGATAAAACTTATAAAAGTTCTGAAAAATTAGAAACTAATGAAGAATACACTAAAACAACTTCACCTACAAAACAGTCTGAAGCGAAGATAAAAACTGCTGAGAAAGCAGAAAACTCAAGACAAAAACGAATAATATCTATTGGAAGTGACTCAATAAGTAAAGAAGATACGGAAGCTTCCATAAAAATTGTTGAAAAAGAGACGTTGGTAATCGACCATGAGACTCCTAGAAAAAAATCGCCACCTTCTACAGAAGAACTAGAGAAACGCTTTGCTGCCTTGGAAAAGCAATTAAGCACAACAAGTATTGACGGTAATTCCAAACCAAAAGAAAATCATCAAAGTTCTTCAAATGAAAAACGAATTACTAAGACTAAAGGAACTGAAAAATCCGAATCTAATCTCGATTCAGAAAGTAATGATCAAATGGGAAGTTTAGTTCAAAATGAAGCAGTAAATAAAAAATCAATGCGAATATTTGAGCAAAAATGTAAGACAATAAATGAGTCTTTAACTGAAAAAACTTCTAAATCTGCTGCAAAAAGCAATGAACTTAAATCTGCAGATAAAACTGAAAAACCTTTACCAGAAAAGGAAAATAGTAAATCTAAGCGTAGAGCTTCAGAACCTCCATCAACCGAAGATTTAGAGAAACGCTATGAAATACTAAAACGGCGTATGAGTTTTAAAAATGTTATGGAAAAAGAACTAACAAAATCGGAAACAGTAGAAGAAGCATTACAAAGAATTGAAAACGAAATAATCGAGGAGATCGCTGAGTTAAGTGATAAGAAAGATGAATATGATATTGAGCAATGTAATATCGAAGAAAATCAATCTCAAACAGAGGAAAATATTGCCATTAAAAAAACTACTTCATCCCCTAAAGAAGCAAGTAAAGAGAGTATAGAACTCAAGTCTAAAGTGCGAAATACAATCATAGCTCCTGAACTTGAACAGAAAGATATCTCAAAATATTCTCCAGAAGATTCCAAAAAAGTAGCTGTTTTTAAGATTCCAGTAGCGCCTCCCTTGCCGTCTATTAATAATCACAATACATATGATAGTTCAACTCAACAACATCGACGTGCTGTAATTGAAGAACTGCAGAATAAAATAAAAACTCCACCAAATGGTGAAAACTTGAAACCAAGTGTAATAAATCCTAACAAGAAAACTCCACCTCATAAGCAAAGAAAACTTGATATGGGAATCGATGGGACTACGGAAACACATGCAATCACCGCTTTTAACAGATTGGAAAACAACGAACAATGGCACATGCAAACCAGGAAAATGGTTCGTCGATTTTCCGATTTACCTTCAAGAGCAGATCTTGAGAATCGCTTACAGTTCTTAGAGAAACAATTAAGTAAGAAATTCTACAAGCAGCGCTGTGCAAGTGATTCCGAAGTAGCATCGAAACGTTTCGGGAGGAGTAAGGATGAAAAGCCAAATACATCAAACCAAATAAATTCTGATGATAGTTTGGAGTATCGAGTACAGGCACTAGAAAAGCAATTAAGTGAAAATAGTTTAAAACTCTTAGAAGCCATGCAGTCCAGACAAACTGCTGAAATATGCCAAGAAATTGAATCAACAAAACAGTTAAGTACAGAGACCATCGATGCAACCGGTAAGGAATTGGTTAGATATACACATTTTGGTGAAGTGGAAGATTCTGATAGTAATAAACCAATAAATATAAGTATTAATATTAAAATGCTTGTTAAGGATGATAAGGAACAAAAAATAAAAACCGAAAAGTTGCCCACAACTGAACAGTTGGAGAAACGTCTTGAAATTTTAGAGCAACAGTTAAAACTTTCTAAAAATGTCGATCAATTCAGTACGGAAGACTGTGCCAAACAGCAAGAAAGGTGTGAAAATAATTTGAAAACTTCTCAAAATGGTAAAAGTGAAAATGAAACAAAACATGAAAAACATAGAAAAGATCAAAATAATGAAGAGGTTAAGAATGATTTAAAAGATTCAAGTTCTAATATTGAAGTGGCACCCTTAGAAGAAAAGAATATTGATCAAAGCAAAGACAATGCAGATCAGTTGGGAGAAGTCAAACACTTAACGAAAGAGAAGAAAACCTTAGAGAATAAAGAAATTGTCCTTCAAAAAAGTACTAAAGGTATACAACAAACGAGCGTTGATGAAAAGAAAACAACTGACACCATACGTAAAGAAACATTGGTAAAAGAAGTTCCGTTAAAAGACGAGGGAAAAGTAAAAGTGTGCAATAAACAAAACACACAAGCAGTAGAACATGGAAAAATATCAAGAACAGACAAAGAAAGAGATCAAGACATACTTGTTTGTGATGAAAAATTTAGAAAAAAAGAAGAAGCTGAAACTGCTAAACAGTCTTCCAAGATAATCAAAGAAACCGATATTCAAAACAAGCAAGAAAGTAATCATGCAAGTTTAAGTAAACTACAACCAGCAACTGGAGAAGATAAAGTCAAACAAAAAGAAGATGAAAGAAAACTACAAGCTTCCAAGGATGTTAAGATCGAACATAAACATGGTAGTCAACAACCAAACAAAGAACCGCATTCATCATCAGTTGACATTAAAAAAACGCAGGAAAATAATTCTGGCGAATTATGTCTGAATGAGAAGAAGAAAGTCGAAGAAAAGCTAACACCTCGTGTTGAAGACACTGAAATAAAAACTGGCGATGAAGCAAACGCAGTAGCAACTGATTCTTCATCAGCTAATATGATTATTAATGCGACAGATGTTGGACCAGTGGATCCCAACAATAAAACCCTAGTTTTGTTATTGGATAACGAGCCAAAAGCTGTAAAAGTTCGAAGATTAACAAGGGCGAATACTGAGGAACTTGAAAATTTATTTCAAGCACTTGAAAAACAATTATCAGATCGCAATTTAATCAAATCGGTAGATGGAAAATTAGTACGTGCTGAAAGCCTGCAGCAAGACACCGATATCCCTACTGAAGAATCGAAAGCAATATCAGATCTAACTAAAGAAATAGAACAGTTTACAAATACCGACGAGACACAAAAGATAAAAACTGAAGTTAGTTCAGAAAAGGAAACAATTCAAAAAGAAGAAGAATATGATTGGGGCGCAGATCCAGTTAAAAAACATCTTAAACGTAAAACAGTTTATTTGCCGTCAACAAAAGAATTAGAAGCGCGTTTTCGTTCATTAGAACGACAAATTAAGTTCTTAGAAGATGTAGAAAAAATTGATGTTGAACAACGTCTGAATGAGATTGAAAGAAAAATAAAGTTACAGTATTCACTCTCACATGAAAAAGATTTATCAAAATTTTTAGAACTTTGTGAAAACAAAGGTTTGGATGAAACCCCTACCACAACTCCTACCACAACAAAAAAGAAACACCAACAAGCTGAATGTCAAACCGAAAAACAAAGAAGTCGAAGTTGTTCACCAAAACAGTGTCGAACTAAGTCTGCCTGTACATCTCCTATAAGAATTAAGGAAAAAACTCCACATACATCACCAATTCGTACTAAAACTCCGCACACATCTCCAGCACGTGCTAGATCTAAAAGTCCCTATACATCACCAGCACGCGAAATAGACGAGGCTAAACAACATGCAAATATGGAAGATTTAGAATATCGTTACCGCATACTTGAGCTAAAACCATCCAAATCCAAAGAAAATTTAGATAAAATAAAAAATAAAATTAGCACCAGAAAGCAGCCAATACATCCAATTGAAATGCTACTAGATTCAAGTCCAGATGACAGTCATATACCAACTACTGGAGAGCTCGAACACAGAATGCGAGTTTTAGATGAAAAACAGAAAACCTTTAAGTTCACTTCGAAATTATCTACAAAGTCACCAACTGATCGCGAACTACCAACAGAAGATGAATTGGAAGCACGTTTACAAGCTCTAGAAGAGCAACAGAGTTTCGATATTAAAATGCAAAATAAATTTAAGGAATTCAATCAAAAATTGAGAGACGAAGTATCTCCTTCATTATCATTTGAAGAGTTCAAAGCAGCGAAATCTCGTGAAGCAAGTCCACATCGTATTGAAATACAACGGCCAACAACGCCAAAATCCGCATTACGTGATACTGAATCAGAGCATAAACGTGATTCCCATCACTACCGCTCTACGAGCCCTAAAGTCATACGTTTCAGTGAAGATGAAGAACTTAGAACAAAATCTAGAATTGGGCAACCGGAAGAACAAATGGTGGGCAAAAATAATGGAGTTATACAAATAATACAAGAAAATTCTAAAATTCTTCAACGTATTCTTAAGAAGACTATTGCAGATGCCAGCAGTACCAGTTTAAGTGGATCTAATCCAGCAATATCTGAAGGTCTTGATGCTTTAGGTACTCGACTAATGCGGGTAAGTTTTTAGTGTATTTATAAAATAATTTAAAAATTAATTGATTTTATAATATTATAGCAAACGTCGCCCTTACGTCGGACTGGTACTCATACCGGTGTTCCATTAAGAACAGATGACAACATCAATGATCGTTTAAACTCAATTAAAAATACAATCAAATCTATTGACTCACTTTGTGAAGAGAAGCCATATAGAAAGGAGAGATGTCAGCGTTATATAGATTCACTATTTTCAGATTCGGTTCATTTTTCTAATCAGCATAAGAAATCACTTGAAGATCTTTCTCGCAGCGAAAGTCGTAAACGTGGAGATTATGCACCATCGATACGAGTTTCAGATCATAGCTATAGGCCTTCAGAATATTTATTAAGTCGTTCTATGGGTTCAGCAGAATCAATACGTTCAACAAGTCCATTGCGTGCCATCAGTCCTCCACATTATCGATCGAACAGAGATTTACGGCGTGACGTATCACCACGACGTAGGCGGGACGAAGAGCGAGAAGAGTATGAAAGTAGGGTAAGACGTGAAAATTATTTGCCAAATTATTATAATGAAAGTAGAGATTTAAATAGTGATAGTTTAACTAAGTTTTATAAAGTAGATAGACAACTAGATACTTACAAATTAGACGATAGAGAACGTTCAAACTCACGATATGGATCGAGAGAGATATTGACGTCGCACAAACCAACAACACTTAATACTACCACCTTAAACACTAAAAATATATCTAATCGTTTGGAAATGGATAAACCAATTTCCCCATATCGTCAAACATCACATAACCTATTGGGCTATGATACACACAAACGTAACAACACACCGATTTATGCACCTACAAAATTAGATATACGACACACGACAGTTACGTCAACATTTTACGATCGCCTACTGGCTGAAAAGCAAATTGAAAAAACACTTTCACGGCCACCAAGTAGATCACCTGTTATATCACCTTCGATAACAAATAAAAGTTATCTGGATTTACCTATCGCAAGTGCCAACACAAATAATATCACACAAACAGCAACAACAACAACAATTTATTCAAAAATTACAAATCTTAGTTCTCCGCTCACAACTATGCCAATACGTAGTTATATTGGTACAACTGGAAGTACTTATTCTGGCAGTGGATACACTGAAAACAGCAGTATTTATATTAAAAGTTATACCAATACTACTACTACTACTACAACAACTACAATTAGCACCTTACCAAATTTTACTTCCAATCTTGCAAATGCTACAACACAAGCCAAATATTCGGCTACCACGCCCACAGGTAATTCTAGCACATACCTTAACGCTTTTAATACAAGGTTACCTCTCGGTACCGATGTTGCTACTCTTAATACTTCACATATTACCGTACGTAGTTGTGATAACATACTCATGCAATTAAAATCTAATTCTACTACGAATACAGCGATAACAACAGCTGCAGCAACATATCTTGGTACAACAACCACTACTATCACAACAACAACTACAACAACGATTACTTCTTCAGCTATTAATTTTACAACATATAACTTCACAAGTTTATATAATACAACAACAATATCAAATATTGGTAGTCTTGGTATTGGACTAAATAATCCTACAAATATTAGTAGTGCTACAAACCCGAATCCGATCATCTCCAACATTGGTGCCGGTACTAATACCAACTCAACATTATATTCAACTGGTGCATATAATTCGCTTATGCCTTTAACTGTGCGTCAAGCGACAGATAGTAATATCGGAACATTTTCGGGTCTTTACCCTAGTGCAATGAACAATAATTACACTTCTACTACGGCACTTAATTTTGGTTCTACAAATGAGCTGCCTAAAACTTAATGCTCTTCAGCTATAGAACATATTTTCTTTACACCGCTTAGTAAGTTAACATTTACTGTCGTTTCTTGCACCAATGTTCTATATACTCGTACACATATATATTTATTGGCAGAGATATTTATACTTAGATGCTACTTTATAATATACAATCATATACACATATAACATATAAGTCAAACGTAGCCTTACATTTATGTATATATACTAAAGATTTTATTTTTAATTTTATAGAACTAATATATTATTAATTTTGTTATAATTATATATTTTTTTTAGTATGAAATGGAGTGTGTTTTTTATTACCTTATCCATGTACTGGTCTATAAACAAACGAAAAGAAACTGGTTTTATTATGTGTAAAATCCTGATAAAGGAATAATTAACACAGATTTCAAAACCAATTGACCTTTGTTTTTTGGTTTATTTAATAGTGACAGATTTGGTTGGAAGAACTTATAAACTAGCGATAGAACTCCTAACTGGAATGACCCAACTAACATTATTTAATTTTAAACAATAAACCTTTACTTCTTGTACTAATCCTTTAATTGTTCTTAAACTATTAACCCATGTTTGTTACAATATATAATCTCGTATAACATAATTCTTTAAATTTCAAGCTTTATTTATATGTAATGTATATAATAAATAATAAGTGCATTCTTATGATTCTTAGCTATCACGGATCCAAAACGAATTGATATTCATTCAACTAATATAAATCTTTTCTATTATATTCCTTAAAAAATTAAGTAAATTAAGGTTAATAATAACTATGATAAAACATTTTCTTCAGTAGTCACCTAGTCCTATTCTAAAGTATATTGTTATTCATTCCTTAAAGATCCTCCTTCTCTTATTGTTAATTGTTTTGATATTTCTTCTTTCTTGGGTTGTTTCTTTTCCAATACCATTTTATTTAAAATTTGTTTTTTCCATGATACCTTAGACAGACAGAATTTAATTAAGATGATGGCTCAGTTTATCATGCACTCACTATACTTACCAAAGTATAGTGAGTTATATTAGAGCACGATCTGCTATCCAGTATGTTAATACCAGCTGTTTCTGCAATTATACATATGAAAGCTTGTCGAAAGGGTAATTCTTAGCAGATTAAATGATGTAGTGGCTTCACGCAATATACTCCCTGACGAACAATTTGGCTTTAGGAATGACCTGTCCACGGAGCTTCAACTGGCTAGAACGACCCAAATGATCCAAACAGCCCTTAGTAGAAGAGAGTCAACTGGAATGATCATTTTTGATATTTCTAAAGCTTTTGACAAGGTCTGGCATGATGGTCTGATAGTTAAAATGTCTCATCTAGGTGTTCCAGGCAGACTAACTAAGATCATTGGCAGCTTCCTACGTGGGAGGTCCTTTCGCACGAAAATCAACAGCGCTCTCTCGTCAGTCCGATCTATAGAAGCAGGGGTTCCTCAGGGATCGCCACTTTCCCCCACTCTCTACAACATTTATACTTCTGATATTCCAATGTTAGGTCCCTCGACTCTGGCGTTATATGCTGACGATACGTGTATGCTATACTCTGATAAATGTGCTCTCAACATAACGAACACACTTCAAAAGCATATAAACCTCATTTTGGAGTATTTTCAGAAATGGAAAATAAAAATCAATAATGAAAAAACTAAGGCTTTGTTTATAACGCGTAAGTGGAGACAGAATCCGTCGAGAGTGAGAGTGGGTGATATGGTGATAAACTGGGAGGATAGCTTTAAATATATCGGCATCACGTTGGACAAACGATTCGCATGGCTTAAACATGTTCAACTGAAAAGAATTAGCTGTACAAAAATTCTTCATTACCTCCAACCGCTATTTAGAAAAGAAAACCTCAATGCTAAGAACAGGAAACTGATATATAACCAAATAATTTGTCCGTCACTTCTATATGGTTGTGTAGCGTTTAGCAAAGCTTCAAACACTACTATTCACCAATTAGAAATTGCACAAAGTCAGGCTCTAAGAAGACTTTTCAAAGTTCCTTGGTATATTAGGACGAATGACATCCTTAGGGACCTCAAGATTGATCCCATCAAAAAATACATAAAAGATAGAGCCTTGAAATTATTTGCGAAATCTGACAGACTTACTAACACCGCGTTATCAAATCTCAGAATAGTTACAGGCTCCTCGGGGAGGTATGCAGATCTGAGATCAATTATTAATTAGTCTGATGATGAGATAAATAATAATCCATTCAAGGCACAAAGAGGGGTTTTGAAGAAACCTCGCAGTTAATATAGAGTAAAAGTGCTCAGGTGCACTGACTCAACTTTCCTCAAGATAATAATAGTTCTCGGAAATTATAGGGAATCAATCTTTAACTCTCATAGTTTGGACCCTATAGAAAAGACTGCTGCCTTAACAATATTATTTGCTAGCATGTGACCTCCAAACCTGTCACGCTTCGCTGTGTGGTTATAGTCATTTCTTGCTATACCTGTATGTCGACATGGTTATACCGCCACGTATTCGGTTAATAAAATACTCCATTTTAATTTTTTTTTAATATATTTAAAATAAATTACCTGATTTTCTGTAAAAAGTGCTTTAAAGTTTTGATTCTGTTAAATTTTATACTCGTATAAAACTAATTTTATTAATATTTTATTTGAAATTTATTTCATTCAAAGTACTCAGCATGTTAATACTAAATACCTATTTTATTTAAATATTTTAAAATTACCTATAGAAAAATTTACTAAAAAATAAACACTACTATAAAATAGTAATCAGTTCAAAGAATTTTTTAAAATATATATCTGCAATTCTTCTTCTAATAGTATACATATTATTATTATAAATAAAATCATCAATTAAGTATAAAGAAAGGTTGTTGAAAAAAAAAGTTATAAGCATTTGTTTCCAATCGTAAAGAACACTATTTTCATAAATAAAAAAGTTAAAAATAAAATTATAACTAAAAGCAATATTGTTGGTATATATAATAATGAAACTAGAGTATTAAAAAATTGACTATTTTCTTACCTATAGTTATATTATATATAATGCATATGAAATGTTTACATGTTAAATACTATATAGCTTTCGAATAATATATATTAGCCGGCTGTTTCTTTTATAATTCCATGAAATAGTTTAAAAATATATTTTTCAAATTTAAAAATAACACGATGTACTTAATATTTAAATATTTTCTTACTTTGTCAAATATACGTATTTAAAATATATAAATTAATATATGTATTAATTATATATATATTAATTAATTTATATATGTAATAAATATATAACTTAGAGAAATTCACCATTATATATTGGTATAGAAACAAATGCACCTCATACTGGCTTACCTCATATATTTAATATGTTATTGTAATTAAATTTTAATTACAAATTTAATATATACATATAAAAACAATTTTTAAAACTTTTGGCACCGATTACTCTACTCTTTTCTCTGAACCTTATACGTATTAACTATTAATTTTTATATTACATTCCTTAAATTATTGCACTCCTTAAACTTATAAAAACAAAAATATTTTTCCAATTTATATATATAATTTAGTAAAATATTAAATTAAATGTTAAAATATGACCCTAAATAAAATTATATACAGAAAAATGAGAGATAGCCGTTTTTATATATTTTGTCAAGAATATATTATATTATTTTATTTTTACATTATATATAAAATTAAAATAAAAAAGAAATCTTAAATTTAAAAATAAATTTAATACAAATATGTGAAACTTTAAATTTAAAAAAAAATATAAAATTATATTATATATAGTGTATTATATGCGTTCTTGTATATATATAACATTTAAAGACTATGTCTGGTCTCAGTGCCGTTTTCGTTACAGAAGAAAGACCACAAATTAATTATTCCAAGAATCTAACTAAATAATTTCATGTTTGACTTATATACGGTTATAATAATTTTTTTTTGTTTTTTATTCCTCTCTTTTTCCCTCTCTCTTACTCTCCTTAACTTTCCCTCTTTCTTTCTTACTCGTATATGCATAATCCTCTTAATGGGTTGAATTCGCGGTCGATCGAAATTTTTATACATATTAATATTATATATAATATATACTCATGTTGATGACCTTTTAATGCTCTTTTACAATTGAAGCATCCTTTCTCCTACTCCCTACACCACTGACGGTCAGCAGCTTACGTTATAATCAGTATATATATAATTATATTTAAGTGTAATGAGTACACTTTTTTTGTAATATAGTCAATGGATGCTGCAATAATGACTGTCGCAATAATTTAAGTTCAGTTTAAAGCTGAATAGTCAATTAAACAATAAAATATAATTATATAATTAAACCGATTTTAAATTAAATCATATATTGATATGTACAGTGTTTTCGAGTCGTTCGAAATATTAGCAGGTTATGATTCAAGACCCAAAAAAAAATCGTTTGGAGGGCATATTTTCAATATCCTAATATCCCTAATCCATGAAACGAAAAAATTTTTTTGGGAGGGAAGAAATTGTCATTATTTACTAAAAGTAAATACAGGGTTAAAAAGACAAATACTCGATAAAAATATGTGTTGATTTTAGGGAGGTGAGAAATTTTCAATATTTACTCTAAGGGTAGATACAGGGTCGATAATACTAATGTCTGATGAAGAAAGGGTTTGCAATTTTATATATATATTATAGATTACATTATTCATGTGTCCAAACCTCCATGAATAATGAAACCATTTTGGTGTTGAAGCTCCAGTGGAGAACTAACGGTTCAGACACATGAATAATGTAATCTAATATATATAAATTCGTATTAACATATATACATTCTTTTTTAAACATCTTTTTTAACTTTTCATTTATCTTACGAACTATTGACAATCTATATAAATAGGCAGACTCTTAAGCACGACTTTAGGAATAATTAGTAAATTTTAGTGAAATTAAATAAAAAAAAATTATCTATTAAAAGAAAAGCGAATTTTTATTAAAAATAAAATCGTTTCAAAACAAGATATATAAATTATTTCATAATTAAAAATAATTTATAATAAATTATTATTATATATATAAATATAATTTGAAACCAATTTTTGAATTGTTGTTGACTGAAAAAAATATTTAATATAAACCCAAAATATTATATATATAGTATATGCATAAAATATTCATTTTTAATTATATATGAAATTAATTTATACGTATAATGCATTTTAAAATTAAATTTTATAAATAAAAAAATGTTGAATGAAACAATTTTTTATATATTTATTTATTTATTACAGTTGTTGAAGATAAATAATACATAAGCAAAAAAAATATTGCAAAAATGAAAAACGGCTTCAGAGATTTTTAAAAGAATTTTCAAAAAAAATATTTATAATAAACGAATGCGATCACATATAGTATTTAAATGAAATATATTTAAACACAATTATTTAGTTAAATCAAATATTGTTATATTAATACAAATATTAAAAAAAAAGTGACAGTACTTATATATATATATATTGCTAAAGCAAAGTTAAAAATGTACTATATTGTTAAAAATTGTTATAATGTATTATATAAAATATCAATCTCATTTTGTATAATTTGTTAATTAGTTATATAATATTGTGTTTTATTTTTTTTCTTGTGTTAAATTAAAGAAATAAAAAAAATATAAATAATCTTATGTTGTTTTAATCGTTCCAAATGTTATGTTATGCTACAAGTCCGTTCCCAAGAAAATGGTGCTTTTCTGCTATTGTTTTGAACATTCAAAAAGAAAATGTTTATATCCACTTCACAGAATGGCAGATATTGGTCAGTGATAGGTAAATCTGCAATGTCTTGTGAGAAACTCATTGGGACTCTGTGTAGGCTACAGCAGTTGACTAGTTTGGTGTAACAACCTAGTGCATCAAACCTCACTTGTGCACAAATAATAGCCAGTTGTGATGTCATTATTGACATAAGTCAATATAAAGACCATCTTAGAGAAAAATATAGGAAGCATCTACTGAATGAACAACGATTCTTTAATAAGACGTGATTCCCACATTCATGCAAAAATGGAACAACCTGAAAATTCATGAACTTAGCTATGTCCCTCATTTTTAAAAATAAGAGCACAATCAGGTCAATTATACTGATCTAAAAGGCGCTTGGAAGGTTTTGAATCTCCTAACCAATAATATCCAACAACATATTAACTGAAATGCATTTTTCTCATCAACCGAAAAGCCACAATCTTCACAAAAGTTGTTAAAAGGTTAAATCGAGTCTATCTGCATACCTTTCGAATACACAGTAGCCTGTTAGCAGGCTATAATCCAGTAATACTGGATTGGTTTTGCTTTAGTTAAAACAGCGTACAGCTGCGAATCTTGTCTAACAGTGCAAAGACAGTGCAAAGAATCTATTCGAGGTTGTGTTAAATTGGTAATGTATCCTTCAGCCTGTCCTTAGTGTTCACTGTATTGATCCATTAGATGGTTCTTAAATTCCTCTCAGTAAATAAATTTTTTTTCAACATGTCTTCTAACATTACTAGAAAATGGCTCAATTGTAATTACTTAAGGTTGGGCTCTTCGCTTGGCAAATCAATCAGGTCTTTTGTTGCCTTTGTATCCTTGATGCCTTGACTCCACGATAAAGCGATGCGATTGATTTGTTTCAGTACCTTGAAAAACGACAGAATTTAGGGTATATGATTTTGTTTAAGCATTCGCGTGCAAAAGGGCTTAATCCTGTTCATAAGCATTCTTAAAATGTCAAAAAGTGCTCTTAAATCTTTTAAATGAGTTTTGCTTTCTATTTAAACTTATTAGATATTATACATCGCAGTGTACCAATACCCCAATTAATTAGAATTTTCGTTCTAATCAAGAAGTCTAATCTAGACTCTTAATCTTTGAAGACAGTTAGGTCAGTTTAATTTTAAACTTAGATGATTAATATTTATAGGGATTTATTGCCAAACGACAGTTTGTTTAGATGCTTTGTAAATAAAGATATCTTTTGAAACTGCAATTATGATACATAAGTATAGCACAACGAGATCATTAAAAATCGTCGACATATTTCACCAATAAGACTATTTCTCAATATGATAATGAAGTTATGTCAGGAAGGTATTAGATAAATTCGAAAGAAGATACAATATATAACTTCACTTGAAGGAGTTGTTTAATGATTTTTTATAAAACTGATTCAAACTTATTAATACTCAGATAACTAATATTGCTAATATCTAATATAATTTAAATAAATAAAAATTATACCAATAAACTACAATCTACACTAACTTTATCATATCTTTCAAATTAAATAATTACATTCTAAAAATAATATTTTAATATCCATTCTTCTCTTCACTTTATCTTTAATAATTTCGTATCATCATTAATATGCAGCTTCTCAATATATTATCTCAATAAGAGGTCCCATCAGCAATTTATTTAGTATTAGCACAGAATTTATGATTATCTCTCACAATGCTTCACATCAATTTGTCGTCAATTACCAATATTAAAAATACTTTGACCACTACTTGCCTTATCGGCGGGAAAGGTTCTTATCTCACAATCAAAGGCTGTACTCAATAAAATGATAACGATGATCTTCCAACAAGCGGATTTGGCAAGTCGATCTTCAGTCAGTAACTATAGATCGCGAGCTCAAGTTGTGCCTCAGTTGAGTGAAATTAAATTTAAAATAAAAAATTAAAATATATTAAATAAATAATTATTAAAATCACAAAATGCAGCATTTTACTACAAAATCGACAAAGATTTTTATAGGGCAAGGTCTTAAGTCACTGCATAAATCTGTTCTTCTCATGCAAACACGTTTCTTAGCCACAACTCCCGTGGGTGAGGTTTTATTTCCTAGCAAGTCAGATTTTCCTAGTAGACACATTGGTCCACGTAAAACTGATGTGGTGGCTATGTTAGACACACTTGGTTATAAGGTAATTTAATTATTTAATTTATATCAGCAATTGTCATCATCTATGAATTTTTAGTCCCTAGCAGAATTGACCGGAAGAGCGGTACCAAAACGCATACAGTTAAATCGTGATCTAAATTTAGACAAACCTTTAAGTAAGTATTTAAATAATTGCTATATAATATATTAAAAATTTTTTAAAACTTTTAAGAATTTTTATTTAAACAAAAAAAATGATATAGAAATATAATTAAAATATTATGGGACCCCCTAGTGTTTTTCGCTAGCGAAAGTGATAAGGCGCGATTAAGGTTACAAGTTCAGTCTACGCCTGTTATTGTATCTTATCAGACAGCATATGTATTCAAAATTAGTTCAATGAATAATGTATAGGGAGTGTAGCTGCGGAATTAACAACAATAAAAAACAATTGAGACGTTCTTAAATCATGCGGTAGTTCCAAATATATTAAATTATTTCAAGTCTAATGACTTGACATTGAATTTTTAAAACGATAAAGCGAATAATATAAAATAAAATTATATTTTGTGGTTCCACACAAAGGCTCTAAAAAACATATACTTAGTAACAATTTTACTTAATAATCTTCAATATTCTATTGATTTCTTGAGACCAATTTTGATATACATATTATATATTATTTATAGATGAACATGAACTCATACGTCGTATACGTGATATTGCAAAAAAGAATCAAATTTGGCGCTCTTACATCGGCATGGGCTACCATAACTGTCATGTACCTCATACAATACTGCGTAACATCTTTGAAAATCCTGGCTGGACCACACAATATACACCCTATCAACCTGAGATAGCTCAAGGCCGTCTTGAATCATTACTGAACTATCAGACATTAGTCTCCGAACTGACAGGTTTGGATGTGGCTAATGCATCATTATTGGATGAAGGTACAGCAGCTGCAGAAGCAATGTGTCTATGTACTAGGTAGCATTCTATATTCTAAAATATATTGTATATAAAAGACTCATATTTAATGTAGACATAACAAGCGCAAGAAAATTTACTTGTCAAACAAAGCACATCCACAAACACTATCTGTAGTGCAAACCAGAGCAGAAGCTTTAGAGTTGGAAATAGAAATAGGTCCTATTGAAAATGCAAACTTAGCAAGTCGTGAATTTTCCGGTATACTACTACAATACCCCGACACATACGGCGATGTAAAGGATTTCGAAAATATTGCGGACTTGGCACGTAAAAATGGTGTAAGTTAAGCTAAAACTTGTATATTCAATAATTTTATTAGTTTATCATAAGATACCAATAATCTCTATAATTTTTCTAACAGACCTTAGTAGTTGTTGCAACGGACTTACTAGCACTAACTCTACTTCGACCACCTGCTGAATTTGGTGCTGATATTGCTATCGGCACATCACAACGCTTAGGTGTGCCACTAGGCTATGGTGGTCCTCATGCAGGCTTCTTTGCTTGCAAACAAAGTCTTGTACGCTTGATGCCAGGTCGCATGATTGGCGTTACACGTGATATGGATGGTCATGATGCTTACCGTTTAGCTTTACAGACACGTGAGCAACACATACGTCGTGATAAGGCGACCAGTAATATTTGTACTGCACAAGCACTCCTAGCTAATATGTCAGCAATGTATGCTATATATCATGGCCCTGAAGGACTTAAAGCCATAGCAAATCGTATACATCATTTTACACTAACGCTACAAACTGGCTTACGTGAGGCTGGACATCATGTAAAGAACAAAAATTTCTTCGATACTTTACACATTACACCCAATGAGGATTTAACCATTGATGAAATTAAATCGCGTGCAGCACAGAAGCATATAAATTTCCGTTACTTTACTGATGGCACAGTTGGCATTGCTCTGGATGAGACTGTTGGTCCAAATGATGTTAATGATTTATTATGGGTTTTCAAGTGCAAATCCTTGGATGACATATTATCTGGGCATGACATATTAAGCAATTCAATTGAAAAATCAAAATTCCTACGCACTTCTCCATTCCTAACCCATCCTATTTTCAGCTCACATCACAGTGAGTCACGCATGGTTCGTTACATGAAGAAACTCGAAAATAAAGACATTTCATTGGTGCACTCTATGATACCATTAGGTTCATGCACTATGAAATTGAACTCCACTACTGAAATGATGCCTTGTTCTTTCCGTCACTTCACTGATATACATCCATTTGCACCTGTAGAACAAGCACAAGGCTATCATCACATGTTCAAAGAATTAGAGAAAGATTTATGTGAAATTACTGGTTACGATAGAATATCCTTCCAACCTAATTCAGGAGCTCAAGGTGAATACGCTGGTTTACGCGCTATTCGTAGCTATCATGAACACCGTAATGAAGGTCATCGCAATATATGTCTCATTCCAATATCGGCACATGGCACAAATCCTGCTTCCGCACAAATGGCTGGTATGAAAGTGGAACCCATACGTATATTATCTGACGGTAGCATTGATATGAGTCATTTACGTGATAAGGCCGCTGAACATGAAAGAGAACTTTCTTGCCTTATGATTACATATCCCTCAACCATGGGCGTTTTTGAGGAAACTGTTGCAGATATTTGTGATTTAATACATCGTCATGGAGGACAAGTGTATTTAGATGGTGCTAACATGAATGCACAAGTTGGACTTTGCAGACCCGGCGATTACGGCAGCGATGTTTCTCACTTGAATTTGCATAAAACTTTCTGCATACCACATGGTGGTGGTGGTCCTGGTATGGGTCCCATAGGTGTTAAAGCACATTTAGCACCCTATTTACCTGGCCATCCAGTTATAAGTCCATTAGATAATCAAGACAATAGTTTTGGTGTAGTTTCTGCAGCACCATTCGGTAGTTCAGCTATACTTCCTATATCTTGGTCTTACATTAAATTGATGGGTAGCCGTGGTCTTAAACGTGCCACACAAGTTGCTATTTTAAATGCAAATTATATGTCAAAACGTTTAGAAAATCACTACAAGACACTTTACAAAGATGAAAAATCTGGTCTTGTAGCACATGAATTCATATTGGATATACGTGATTTAAAGAAGAGTGCCAATATTGAAGCTGTTGATGTAGCGAAACGCTTAATGGACTACGGTTTTCATGCGCCAACAATGTCATGGCCTGTAGCTGGTACACTTATGATTGAGCCCACTGAAAGTGAAGATAAGGATGAATTGGATCGTTTCTGTGAAGCCATGATATCAATTCGAGCTGAAATTGCCGAAATCGAAACAGGACGTATGGATAATAAAGTGAATCCATTGAAAATGTCTCCACATACTCAAGCGCAAGTTATCTCTGATAAATGGAATAGACCATACACGCGGGAAGTTGCAGCCTTTCCAGCGGTAAGTAGATTAAATTATTTTTCTTTTTTTATCACAAATAATGTTTGTTTTATTTATTCATAGCTCTTTGTTAAACCCGAATCCAAAATTTGGCCTACAGTTGGCAGAATAGACGATGCTTATGGTGACAAACATTTAGTCTGCACTTGTCCACCAATTTTACCTGATCTGTAAAGTTTTAATATATTATACTAAAGCAGTGGTAAACATATATATTGAGTTTACAATTTTTAAGTAATTTATAAAATTAGAATTAAGAAATAAAAATTAAAAATAAAAACTTTAGAATCAGCTGTTTCCATTGACGGATAGCACTATACCTCATCCATGTTTTTTCATTTTGCTTTTAGTTGTAGAAAAACTCACCACTTAGGTACTCCATGAAATGTTTGTTTTCAGGTATTTTAGTTTAAATATACTTACTTCACAAATATGCGGATCATTATCACCAGGCGTAAAAGAATTTACAGCTCTTATTATTACTTGATTCACTTATACCGATCCATATTACTTTACTAACTTTTAATAAATAGATTTTAAACCATCTACATTTAGTAACTAAATAATTCCAAGAACGGCCGAGTCTGCGTCCCGGAGCCACTCTTCGCCAGCGAAAATCAAGTGCCGTCCAAATCTTTCCAAAAAGACTTTACAAGCAGGTCCCAGCGGGTTACACCAACAAGTAACTAATTAAAATAACTTACATATTGTGCGAGCATACTCCAAATCTTAAACGTTTAAAACTGTGTTAAACCATCGCAGAGATATCATTGGTAACCCATTATCGCCTTGTAGATAGCAGCTAATGTTTTGAGTACACTAATTTGATGGACTGCAGGAATCAAACATAAAATATAATAACTAATATAATAAAAATATAATATGAATTTAATATGGGATTCACTTTTAGAACAATTTACATTTCCAATTGAAAAATCTAGATCTAAACACTAGATGTTTTGTCAGGGTAACAAGGTTATCCTGAAATTAACAACTGTTTTATATGAGATTAATTTATAACATTAGATATTTTGCCGGAGTAGCAAAATTACTTGAAATTAACAGCTGTTTTGTATGACCACAAATAAATTGTGATTTGATTCGATATATTAAGTCTGTTCCACGACCTACTCGTAGTAAAATTCAAATAAAACACCAGTAAAGTACAAAATGAGAGCGTAACACAAAAATTTCATTCTCTACACAGATTATCATGGAACTGCTTTGTGTAAAATCTGGTGAGAACATCAGTGCGGGACAAATAAATAATACAAAAATTTAAATTGAAATCAAAACAGCTAATTCACACATCACATAAATTTTACTAAAATAAAATGCACGAGTAAAGTCTGTCTAGCATTTTCAAATTTCAACAATTACATATTGCTACTCAAAATTACTACGAGTAGCTTCTGGAACAGACCTATTATATGTATTTATATAAATGCCCCGTAACACAACTACAAAAATGTTAGATTACTTTAAAAACATATGATTGGGTAACAAAATTTGACAATTCGAGAGTAAAACTAAATTAAATTCAGATTTACCAATCGAAAATGCCATCACATTTTCAAGTATATCATCCTCAAAACAGATGTTGGATCTATGTTCAGTTTGTAAAAACAAGGTACATAATATAAAGGACATATAAAGGCTATTTAAGACTTTTCATATACATTACTTCCCAAACTGAATGATCTACACATGTTTATATACAGATATATAAATATTGGCATATACACAATAAGGTTTTCGTGAACACAAAATTTAAATATATAAATAATAAAGAGGATTTTTCGAAAAGTATGAAATACAAACACAAATTAATTTTTATTGAATTTTTGGCTGTATACAGCTGTTTCGAATATTTCCAAATACCCATAATAAGTAGTCTTGGAATTATTTCTTATAATTAATTATTCGTAAATAATTTTTTGAGACTGCACGCACCAGAAATAAATAATATATTTTTGAAATAACTAATTTATAATCATTGAATATTTGTATTTAATTTATATTATATATTGATTTAATAAATAACAAATTTAGTGAACATATCTGGTGATAAAAAAATCACTAAACGTAATTGAATTACGTTTTCCAGTCCTTTTACTCTTTGCGAGCGCAGCAAAAGCTGAATACTACAAAAACTCTTTTTGACATCTGCGTGACAACGAAAGTTCTGCCGGCAGAAAAATTTAAAGCGTAGTGTGCTTTTACATGGTTTGTGTTTGATCAATATTGTCATAATAAAGTATAAAGATTCAAATTCATTAATAAATTTTTATAAAAATGAAAATCGAAGAAGTCAAAAGTACTGTACGAACTCAACGCATTGCAGCTCATAGCCACGTTAAAGGCTTAGGTTTAGATGATGCTGGCGTACCAATTACAATTGCTTCAGGACTTGTTGGCCAGAAATCAGCAAGGGAAGCTGCAGGTATTGTTGTCGATCTGATTAAATCGAAAAAAATGGCTGGGCGAGCATTGTTACTAGCTGGGCCACCAGGAACTGGCAAAACAGCAATTGCACTCGCTATAGCACAGGAATTGGGTAATAAAGTGCCATTTTGCCCAATGGTCGGCTCTGAAGTGTTCAGCAGTGAAATTAAAAAAACTGAAGTTTTAATGGAGAACTTCCGTCGTTCAATTGGTTTGCGTATACGTGAAACCAAAGAAGTATACGAAGGTGAGGTAATTGAGTTAACTCCTGTCGAAACTGAAAATCCTATGGGTGGCTATGGCAAAACAATCAGTAATGTAGTTATCGGTTTAAAGACTGCAAAAGGTGTTAAGCAACTTAAACTTGATCCTAGCATTTTCGATGCTTTGCAAAAGGAAAAGGTGGAGGTTGGTGATGTTATTTATATAGAAGCTAATAGCGGCGCCGTGAAACGCCAAGGTCGTAGCGATACTTACGCGACAGAGTTCGATTTGGAAACAGAGGAATATGTGCCACTTCCCAAAGGCGATGTACACAAGAAAAAGGAAGTTATACAGGATGTGACATTACATGATTTAGATGTGGCCAATGCACGACCACAAGGCGGTCAGGATGTGCTCTCAATGATGGGACAGTTAATGAAACCGAAGAAAACTGAAATTACTGGTATGTAAACCTAAAATAATAGTGTTATTATTTATTTATTATAATATAAATGACAAAAATATTTAATTTGCAGATAAGTTACGTATGGAAATTAACAAAGTGGTTAATAAATACATTGATCAAGGTATTGCTGAGTTAGTTCCTGGTGTACTTTTTATTGATGAAATTCATATGCTTGATTTGGAAACCTTCACCTATTTACACAAATCTTTGGAATCACCTATTGCACCAATTGTCATATTTGCTACAAATCGTGGACGTTGTGTTATACGGTATGAAATTGTGCATATTTTTATATTAATTTGTATATTTTATACATTTGTTTCTTTTTAGTGGCACCACTGATATTATATCTCCTCATGGTATACCACTTGATCTGCTCGATCGTTTACTCATCATACGCACTCTTCCTTATTCATCTACTGAAATGGAACAAATTATTAAGTTACGCGCACAAACTGAAGGCTTACAACTGGAGGACAGCGCATTTGCTTGCCTCAGTGAAATTGGCAGCAACTCTACACTACGTTATGCAGTACAATTACTAACCCCGGCTTACCAAATGTGCAAAGTTAATGGACGCACACAGATTACTCAGGATGATATAACAGATGTACATTCGTTATTCCTTGATGCAAAACGTTCTACAAAACATCTCTCAGAAAAGAATAATAAATACATGATGTAATTTAAGATCGAAGTCATATGTACTTCAATATTAATAATTAAAATTAATTTTAAATATATTAACGTTCATTTTGACGAAAATAAAATATATTGTTTATAACATTAAACAATTATTATAAATTTAAAAATTGTTATAAACTTTAATTACAAGTACATATTGGACAAGTCGCGTCTATAGCAGTAGTTGTTTGTGTTGTATCTCAAGAAGACCCTTAGAGCAGATAACATAAAAGAAGTTGGTAATGGTAATGGTTAGGTAGAGAAACTATAAAAGAGGAATATACCAACAAGAGTAGGTAGAATTTCAAATGAAGTTGACCTGTGTCAAGACGGAAAAACCTTCATTGGGACGGAGGAAAAGAAAAATTGATGTGTTAGGGGAGATATTTAAAATTAAAGTATTTATGCGAGACAAATGTAGAACACTGCTATATTCTCACAACAATGAGGGCTAGTTGTTGTTACACGAGGAATGCGAAATCTATGCAAATGTAGGCTCGAACAGAACACTGAATCTGTGTAAAAAACGCAATAGTAATTACTGATGCTGTACGCCGGAAACACGTATAGATCAGGAAATATAAATGAATTTATAAGACATAAACATGGGTTATGAAAGATGTGGCTAAACAGAAGAAGGAAATTTCTTTTCTTAGATATTTATATTTAACATTTTCACATTTATTATAAGTTAGAAGAAACGGCAATGATTAGCATAATTGTCCGCCGCAATTTATGAAGTATTTCGTTTATTGATCTTCTAAATAAACATTCAACCTTGTGAAATTAACTTATTATTTTGTTTTACTCAAATACCATTTTCGGTGCGCAACAATTTGAAGACAGATTTCGCTAAAATCGCCTTCATTTACCGAATTTCTACCGAATGAAGTCAATTTGGCATAAAATGCAGTTAAAAACATTGCTCAATACAACGAAATTTATCAAAATCCATAATCAAATTACGACCTCCCGTAAACTATATCATGCCCCATGTTTATTTTTTATGTTAATTGTATTAAAAATAAAGAAAAACATATGATAAAACTATCAAGCGTTTTTACTTCATTAATCAAAAATTGTTTAAATAATTAAACGAATGTTTTTATTATTGAATATCTCGTCTACTGCAAATAAAACGAAACTATCATATATTTTCAGCGTTTTTCAACACTATTAAACGTCAAAACTGTCAAAGAAAAGTGAGAAGAGCATTCATTGTCAAGCAAAGTGAGTATTTCTAATTGGAATTTTAGTTTAGTCGTTGTTGAGTGGTGGTTCGTTCTTGTTTGCGGCAAATGTGTTCAGGGATTGTAAAATAATAAATTTTAATAAAAATGTTTAAAAATAAAATAACTATAAATCATAATGAATAAAATAGAAAAAAAATACACTAATTGAAAGTGTTTAAAATGGAGTGCTAAAAATAAATATTAAATAATACCTAAACTAAAAAGCGACCAAATTGTATAACGTAAAATATCACATTATAGCGCCCTACTGTCGTATGAAGTTACATTTTTGTTAAAAAAAAAAAAAAAAAATTCAACGTTAACTCCCGCCACACCGCTTAGTGTAGAAAGCACAATTTTTTTTGGGTTGTCATTATTTGCATTTAGTTTTTTAATTCAATGATTCTTCTCAGCTGGCCGCCCACGTTGCGTAAAAAGTCAGCCACTTCGTATATTGTTAAACGTTGACGCCGTAGTTCTATTTGTATGTGTGTTTGTTGTTTTTGTGTAGTCGTGTTGTTGTTTATTACCTGCTAAATTTCTAGAGAAACGGTAATAAATGTGATCTATGCTTACAATTATGATCGCAAATATAAAAATAAATATGAATTGATTAATTGATTGATTGGGTTTATCTGACAAAATAAATTGAGTTGTTGTGCATGTGAACCAATGCAACAACACCCTGTAACGAGCATATTTAATAAAGCGCACCCAAAATGTTGTCTCCCTAAAAAAGGAAAACTGGGCGCGGATCGTGAATTTTAAACGTATATTAAAAATTTTTAGTGAACAAACATCCAAAACAACAACAAAAAATAAAAAAAATAAATAAATTTATTTTTTAATAAAAAAAAAATTACGCACACAAAGCTAAACGGACGGCAGCAACAAACAACATATTTTCCCCAAACCAAAAGTGGACTTCGGCTCGGCGCTGGTACAAGAACGTGATTACTGCATGCGTTTTAAACACGTAAGTTCAGCTTTTGTTATGCTAATTAAAGCTTAAAAATTACATAATTTATTATTATCATTATTATTGGTGAAAAGCGAAAGTTATTTTAAGAATCCCATTCATTATTAAAAGCAATGATTTTTTACCCAATTTCTTTTCATTCTTTTCGCTATTTTCATTCTAATGTGTTCCTTTGTAGTCTCTTTCTATTTATGTTTATTGTGTGATGGAAAAAAAATTTAATTACTGCACGGCATTGTTCACTCTTTCTGCAAAATTGTTAAGAAAAATATAAATAATATTTATTAATGTCTTTGGCTGTGTTGGAGCGTGTGTATGTACACATTGACGCCCACAGATGTTACAGTATTGCTCTTCGCAGCTTAGCTTTTCTCTCGCTGCCGATCGCCGATGAAAGCAAAGACTCTTTCATAAACATTTGTTGCAAATCGTCAAAATGTTTGTGCAGGAGCGCATTTAGACAGAAAAACACAAAGGCTTCAAAAGATTTTAACAGAAAAAAAAATAAAATAAATATTTTAAATTAAATTAAATTTTATACTATATTCAGATAGCCAAATTTTCTTAATTTCGTAAAAATAAAATTAAGTTAATTTCGAAAGTGTTCATACTGTCCCAAATTAAGAAAATCATATGTTTTTTGTTTACAAATCAAATGTTAAAATGTTACATGCTTCAAACACTATTTGTATCTAGAAAATTTTAAAATTTGATTAATACAACTATAAAGAATGACATTCAGTAGTTTTATTATCTTTAATGGATTTCAGGTATGTGAATTATTATTTTTCACTCTATTTTAAATTAATAACAGTTCTACATTCAAATTTAAAAATTTATACTACTTTCAAAATATTTTCCCGGTTTTATTAAACTCAACTGTCACTGACATTTATTACAAAAAATGTCAGTTTTTCGTTATCTCAACTTTATCTCAAGATTGATTCCATCAAAAAATACATAAACGATAGAGCTCTGAAATTATTTGCGAAAACTGACAGATTTACCAGCACCGCGTTATCAAATCTCAGAACGGTTACAGGCTTCTCGGAGAGATATGCAGATCTGAGGTCAATTATTGCTTAGTCTGATGAAGTGATAAACAATAATCCAGTCAAAGCGTAAAGAGGGGTTTTAATAATATCTCGAGTTAAGAAAGAGTAAAAGTGTTCAAGTGCACTGGCTCAAATAGAAATAAATAAATTAAAAATTATCTCACGCATAGTTGCATTTGAAATGTCCCTTAATTTCAGCCTTCGTTTCAACGACATTAAGGCTATTTACCTTAATTTCGTTCTATCCTTAAAACTAAATTTTGTATGAAAAAACTAACTTAATTTTGCTGAAGATGAAATTAAGATTTTTGCGAAATTAAGGTGTGTCTGAACATAGTATTAGTGTCCGTTTTGACGAAAGAAACTAAATTTTTAAGTTTATATAAATATTTTAATATTTTTTTGTTAATATTTGTTTTTAATATTTTAAATAATACAAATACTTGTTTGGACTTAATACTAGTAAAAAGAACCAATAATGTTCATAAATTGGTTGCTTGTTATAAAAATAATACTCATCTAAATTAATAAAAGCCTTATAAACCTTATAAATGCATACAGTGTGCCCCTCTATAACACAGTACCCTTATAACGCGTTTTCATATTACGCGATTTCAATCCACTGTATAACACGGGGATTTGTACAGGTATAATTACCTTCGCGTACCTTTGCACGTGTGTATACGGAGTATACGAATACGCCTATAATGCGGAACCAATCTACCGCGTTATAGAGAGGATTACTGTATATTTATCTGCTTGATAAATGAAGTGTCAAATTTTGTATGAAAAAGAGTTTACACAAATTTGATAAATTTACACGAAACTTTTACCGAATAAATTTATATCGTATAAATTTATCTGTTGTCAATACAGAGTTGCATTCCAACACAAGCAAGGCATTTACAAAAATATCTTTATAAATTTTTTGGTTTAGACTTTTCGCTCAATTCAGGTATTTTATTTTATAATTTATTGATAGCGACACAGCTGATCAATAAAGTTTACACAAATATTTAAAATTGCAACAATATTGGCTAAAAAATTGCGCTGTTAATCATTGCGTTTTATGCTGTCATAATTATTGCTCATATAAATAGTGCTATTATATCATATTATAGCATAAATCATAAACCAGCTGTAGAATAATTAAATTAATTATATTTTTATTTTAAATTGTTAAATTTCAGTACTATTCTTTTGTAACCTAAGTAAATTGTAAAAGAAAATAAGATAGCTACAAAGCGAAACAGAGAACTTCGAAATCTATAGCTAAACTCAGTAGATGCAAATATCAAAAATTTCAACCTTCAAGCCATTTACTGAGTATATTAAGGAAAAACTGTGAATTGTTATAGCTAAGAAATGATTATGATGAAAATTTGTTATTATATAGAGATTCGGTTGCTTTAGAATTTTCCAGGTGTCATAATATACATATAATTTTACGTTCTCTTGTTATTAATTCATTATCCTTAAATATCGATAGATCCTTATTAGTATGTTGAGGCTAGTTGAGTCAGTACACTTGAGCACTTTATCTTTCTATTAACTACGTGATTTCTTCATAACCCCTCTCTACGCCTTGACTAGGTTATTGTTTATTACTTTATCAAACTAAACAATAATTGATCTGAGATCTGCATAATTCTCCGAGGAGCCTGTAACCATTCTGAGATTCGATAACGCGGTATTGAGAAGCCTGTCAGTTTTTGTAAATAATTTCAGAGCTCTATCCAGATTGGTTGAGATGAGTTAGTATAATTTTAATGAACTTATTAAAAAGAGTGTATAACTTTTGACAGAATCTTTTCAAATTTCTTCTATATTTTTTAACAGCTGTTTAGAGTGTAGGGCACCAACGATGATACCCCTTCACCAAAAAATATTAATAAATAAAATAAATATGATACCCCTTAATATTTTACAAAGAATTTCTTGATTTTAAAAAAAAAACACAATAGACCACCTAAGTTGTCATTTATAATTTCTATTTTATAATTATGTTTATTATTTCTCGAACACAACTACTTAATATATAATTATTGATAATAGTTTTTTAAATAAGACTATTAGATTACCATATGTACATTATAATTCTCGATTATTCCATTTGGCAACATAATTAACTGTCACATTTCAAAAAGCCTCTACTTTAAGCTGGCTCTATTGTAGATCTTTTTTTTTATTGTAGATCTACTGACGTATCTATACATGATTTTATTGCGTCAGTAGTGTTTGCTGGAACAATTTGTTTTTTCAGCTTCTTGTTGTTAGATTTTTGCCACTTAAATAAACTCAAGAACTATCGCAACCTACAATAAATCGCTAGTTGCGTGATCTTGTTGGCAATGAGTTGCTGCGGTCGTTGGTTGCTTCTATTTTGCTTGCACATTGGCATGCGATTCGCAACTATTTCGACAATATTCCTCTAAATAAATACACACTAACAACAAGACACGAAATTTTTAGAGATACATTCGAGTGTATAATAAAATTCTTAAAGCGAAAAAGTTTTAAAGCCAAAATGAACAAAGAAAATACTTTGAAATACATTGACGACGATCTCTCATTGTCACACAATGACGTTAATAAGAAACATTTGCATAAAATGGAGGTTGATCAAGAACATTTGGCTAACAATAGTTTCTTGTTCTTGTTGTTGTTGTTGTTGTTGTTGTTGTTGTTGTTGTTGTTGTTAGTTTACTTATGAACAGCCAAAATTAACTAACAATAAGTACGATGATTGCATATAAACAATTATTGTTCCATATTGTTTTTAAATTTATACATAATAAATTTTGTTACTTTCAGAAATCTTATAAAATTGTATCTATTATGATTGTTAAACTGTCTGAAAATATTTAAGGACAATTTAATCCTAACGTTTATAATCGTATTATATCTCTATATTAGAGCAAAGCACCTAGTAATCCAGTTCCTTATTCTTATCTAATTTTAAAATTAATTTTAATGTTAACTCACAAATACATAAATAAAATCTCTATATCTATCAATATCATATGTCATTAGATATATATAAATATGAATATGAATGATATAAATAAAGTATAAGTTTATTAGATTAAAAAGAAAGGATACCACAAGTGATCATTCGTGGTTTAATTTTTTATAAAACAACCTTCGCTCTACTAAACAACCATGGGTTGTATATAATGAAATTCGTAGAGTTGGCAGATTGTGGAAGACGGCATATACTCAACACACGTACTTTATACATTGCAATCAGAAATGGTCTTTTTTTCAGTAGGTCGAAACCCGCAGTATGAGACTTGAACCCACTTAAACCACCTCTTTGGAATTAATGGAAAAAATGTCTACAACAGAAACTTCATTCCAGTAATTAAAGTACAGAGATTAGAGCAAGAGGCTTAATACCTACTAGCCTAGATTTATTTAAGCCAGAAAGCATGGGTATGTATGAGGTAGACTGGGAATTAACGAAGAGGTCGGGATTATTGTACAAGCGCGGGGGTAAGGTTAGCTACCATATAGAATGATGTAGTCTTCAAAAAATGATTAAGATCAAACTATTAAGATCACTACATCCTAACGTCATAAATCTAGAGTAAGGTGTTGTTTATGGAATACTAAAAGTAAGATTTAAGTGGTTTTATGCTTATTATATAGTTCAGTAATTTCAATATAGCATTATTATTTAAATATTACAGATCTATCCGAACACTATATATTTAATATCTGTTTATCTATCTTAATCCATTACAATACACCAGATACTAGGGAGTAGTTTAAATTTTTGATTTCTCTAAGCGGTTCGCAATCGAAAACACCCAGTTGGGTTCATCAGTCAACAATTCAATTCATGGTGTTAGTTTATATGCTATATAGATTAGCTTCATAAGAAAGAAATAACAATCGGTGAATACTTATTGTAACTAATAAGATTGTTTCATTTAACGATTCGCAAAAAACACAATCCCATTTGATCAAGAAAAAATGTTCTTTACCTTGCAATGTACGAAGTTAAAAATTTCTGAAAATCATATATATGTAGTATCATATAGTCATATAGTATCATTATTTGTGATAAAGTGAGGTTTGGTGCACTAGGCTACCACTCCAAACTAACCTAATCTAAAAGAGTGTGTGTTGTTTGAACATACGTTCTTGAAAGTGTATGATTTTGAATACTTTGTGAATAAGTAAGTAAACACAGTAGCATGGTGCTGCTGTACCATGCTAAAACAATTGCTTTTTGTATTATAGTTATTTAATATTAATAAACGAATCGATTTCTGTTAGAGTGTATGCTTGCGCCCAAAAGCGTGTTTTATTACTGTGTTGAAAATGTATAACGTATGTAACTGGCATTACACAATTACGTGCAATAAGCTGCTTACATAGCTTATAAGCTGTGTGAAAGCACTTGACTTGCTGTACATCCCTGATATAATCGCAAAATTTTTTTATAGACAGTCTGCGGAAATTTCGCGAATTGAATATTAAATTTGTTTATTTTAGTGATTTAGTTTTAGCAAGTACGTACTGAAAATTTTTTTTGATAACATATTTGTTTTTAATGTTGAAATTCCACAAACCTACAAATTTATTTTCTAAATTTTTTTTCTTTTTATTTGGCACTACAGTCTAGTGTAAACCTCCCTCACGATCTGCCTGCATCTATCCCGATCTTCTACTAATCTCTTTTAGTTTAGTACTCCAATATTTCTTGCATCACCATACATATTCTCATCCCATCTTGTTCTTGACCTACCTACCTCTATGGCTGGTTGTCATCGGCTTTGTGTTGTATATGCTGCTCGGCTTTCTCTCCAGTTTCATTCTTACTACATGAGCAGCCCATTGTAAAAATTATTGAAAATCAAAATATATTGAGTTAAAAAACAATGGTTTTTTTTGTGCATCTAAAACTATCTTTCATTAAAAATTCACTGCATTCTTTTCCCCCCATTTATGCGTCGCAAATGCTTATCAGACATGTCATAATATTATTTTCTCTAAAAATTTAATTAAAAATATTTTCATTTAACCACTGAATTTGACAATATTATATTCAAGGGCTAGTACATTACATTTCAAAACTAGAAGTACATAAACCTTTCATAAATGTTTGCCAACAATTTTTGCTGCACTTAAATCTGATGCACCTCCAGAAGAACCACAATAAATTGCATTTTTCTATTAAATAAAAAGTTGTTTTTTGCTCTTCAAGCTGCCCACTACAATATGAGAAAAATGTAATTGTTTCCCTTCAAAATGCCATAAGGCTTTGTTGTTGTTATTGTTGCTATTGTTGTTGTTGTTGTTGTTGATTTGCTGCATTTCGAAAATGAATCTGCATCTGCAACTGCTTTAGACACTTATTCTACACCTGTACTTGTCGCTTGTATTTAGGCGCCGCATGTATTGTACTTTTAGGTATCTTCTTTGAAATCATCCTACAATGGTAGAACATTCAAAGCATTCGCAAGCTTTGAACGATTTAACAACAAAAATGCTACAACCTTGCCGCCCACCCACATTGTTGCTTGTATATTGCAATACACAAACAAACATCCATACATACACAAACGAGATTACTCTCGAAGCCCTCAAATGCGTATGTATTTGTTTGTATCTATGTGCACTTGTATCTTTGTGTGAATGTGTCGTCTAAATGAATATTTTGCGGCTTGGCTTTGTTTTTGTCTTTTTTTGTGTTGGTTTGTTATTGTTTTTTGTTTTTGTTTACGTCTTCGTAGGTTTTAACATGCTCTTATTTTACGACTTAAGTGGGGTGCAGACTATCATACTGGTATGTCATACGAGAGAGAAAAACGTCGTATGACACACAGGTATGATAGTCTGCCACCTTTACCAACGTGTTGGCGTGCTCACCAAAATTTTGGTGAACAGCTCTCGCATACGCGTTGTGTATGATAGTCTGTCACCCCTAACGATTCATACGTCATACAAGAGCATTTTTGCCTTGCAAATTTATTGTAAGCAGGTGGAATATGTAGAATTATAATATAAATTTAATATGTTTTATATTATTTTATTATTAATGTATTTATTATTATTATTAAAATTACACTTATAAATTTGTGTTAAATATTTAATTGTATCTTAGTTAAAAAAAATATAAATTTTTACATAAAATTCTTATAAAAAATTAAAATACAATTAAATATTTTATGTAATATATTAAATATTTTGTTTAATTTATTAAATATTTTATTTTATTTTATTTTAATTTATAAACGATGATTATAAGTAAAATTTTTTTTAAAAAAACATCTAAATATAAACATCGTTAAATTTATGATCTAAGCCCAGTAATAAAAAAACATATTGAAAATTGGTCGTAATAACAATTAATTAATAACCCAAATTTAAGATATAATACTTTGTATTCTAAATATGCTTTTCTTGTTATTAAAATAAAAGAATTTTAAATGTTAATAACCTTTAACTAACAAATATATGGAAATGATCAAATTTCTTCAAAAACAATGAAGATATATACATTCTTATGTATATATATATATGCATTATTTATGATCTATTTATGAAAAATTTCTTAAGAAACTTTCCAGGTAGTGAATGAAATTAACTACGGTCCTTTACTGATCTTTTCATTTTAACTACTGTGCTTAATGACCAATAAACCTAAAAAAAATATGAATATGGATGCAGATAAAGCATTTTTAGATGCTTTCATCGAATGTTTATAAAAGTAATCGCTGTTTGTGGGATGTCTAAAGCTGTGAATATAAAAATCGCAAAAAAAAACGCGGCATATATAAAATATACAAAATTATAATCAATTATAAGCAAAGCACAACCTATACGTTAACTATCAATTTTTTCAATTTTAAAATTTTATTTTAAACACACAAATTTTCACAGCACTACCCGCAAAAGCACTCTTCAAAAATTTTGCC